CTGCACCACTGCTCAGGGGGGTGTAAAATGGGACCGCTGCTGGGAAACAGTCAGGAAACCCCTTAAAAATTAAACAGAATTATCGTAACCCAGCCATCCGCTTCTAGGCATATCCCCAAAGGAAACGAACACATATCTCCACACAAAAACGTGTACACTGAGGTTCGTAGCCACACTACTCAACATAACCAACGAGTGCAAACACCCTAAATACCCATCCACTGGGAAATATTAGGTAAACGAAATGTGGCACACCCACCCGAGGGAATGTAATTCTGTGACCACAAGGAAGGAAGTGCTGATACATGGCACAGCCTATGGCTAAACCTTGTAAACATATCGTGTGACTCCACTCACATGAAATGTCGAGGACAGGTAAATCTACAGACAGGAAGAGCAGTGGTTGCTTGGGCTGGGGGCGTTGGGGGAAGTGGAGAGAAACTGTTCATGGGCACAAGAGTTTCTTTTGGGGGCGATAAAATGTTTTCAAAATGAGTGGTGATGGTTGCACAAGACTGTATATACCAAAAACCACTAAATTTACATTTTAGAAAAGTGGGTTTTATGGTATATGAATTATATCTCAATAAAGCTTTTATTAAACAAGAGGAGGAGGAGGGAGAGGAGGAGGAGCAGCAACAGCTATAATTGAATGGGAACAAAAAAAAAATGAATACTTTGTAAAGGAACCTGAGTAATGGTTAAAAACTCCAGTTAGAAACAAAGGTTATTTTTTAAAGATTTTATTTATTTATTTTTAGGGAGGGAAGGGAAGGAGAAAGAGAGAGAGAGAGAGAGAAACATCAGTGTGCGGTTGCTGGGGGCCATGGCCTGCAACCCAGGCATGTGCCCTGGCTGGGAATCGAACCTGCGATACCTTGATTCACAGCCCGCGCTCAATCCACTGAGCTACGCCAGCCAGGGCACAAAGGTTATTTTTAGTTTTATCCATGACAGATAAGTGATAATTCTTACAACAATAGTGTTTATTTAGTTTGCCCTAACAGTAACTATTACTATTATGTTTATTAGTAAAGAAATTAGAAAGCCAAGACAACTAAGGAGTATAATTCCATCCACCCAGAAACAAATATAATTAAAAACTTCTTGTACATACTTTCAGCCACTTCCATATTCTCTACTTGCTAATTTTTTGATACTCAAATGTATATCTTTTAAATATAAGCACCATCCTATTTTACAAATTTCAGGCAGTTTTTTGTTTTCTTAGAGTAGATGCTAGGCATCTTTCTCATAGCTCAGTCTTATCTTTAAGAAGTTGCCAAAGACCATTCCTCTGTAGGCACTTACCACACCTCACAGAATAACTGATGGAGATTTACATTGCTTTTTAAATCATGTCAATGCACAGTACATACACCTTTGTGCACTTACATGATCATTGCCTAAATACTAATTCTTAGTAGCGAAATTACCTGGCAAACTTTTTTAATGCTTTTTCGTTTTTATGTTGGATGTCATAGAGGCCTGAAAAAAATGTAAGCGCTCATTCAAAACCCCATCGAGAGCATATGTGTAAATATTCTCTGTGTTAGGGCTAACGGCAGATAGTAGATGTTCAAAAACTTTGGGCAGAGGCCTCTTGAAAGGAGGTCTCCCCTACTTTGAGTGCAGAAAACTAGTCCAATGTCCTTACCTTCAGACTTGGTCACCTTAAACTCAGCCAAACATGACGCAATTACAAGGGCCAAAGGGATGAGCCTCCTGGCGGCCCCCATCTTCGGAAGGGGCGGGACAGCCCAGAGGGCCAGCAGGCTTTTATACTTCTCTGCCCTGCCTGCCTGGTACCGTAAGCTTCTGGGTGACCTTCAGGGGCATGAGTCGGTTTGACCACGTCAGGGGTAGATTTATGTGAGAGCACAGCAGCTGTGACCAGCTTAGTATCAGCGGTCCCTAGCAGTGTTTGCTCTTCTCCGCCGATTCCCGGGAGCCCTGTGGGTAGCACCCAGCTACCGCCCCTGCCGGGGAGCTCCCGCGCCCGGTACACAGTGGGCGCTGAGCAGCTCCTCCTGGCACTGATTGGATTGGGGCCTTTGCCCTGGGATTTGTTTAGATCACCGAAGGGGTAACAGCATTGGCACCTTGAGCCTTCCCTGCTCTTCCCTAAACATTAAAGCTTTTGGGGGTCCGAAGAATCAAGCTGGGACATGGGTGGCACCAGGGCCACCTCTGGGTGAGCTAGGTCACCCTGGTGCCTGCCTGGTGGCTGACACTGAGGGAGAGGAGGAGGTGGCATGGGATGGGGCGGAAAAAGGAAGTACAGATCCAGGTTAAGCTTGCACGAGTTTCTAGCCAGTTATGCCCAGAGAGCCTGCAGTGGGTGAATGGAAGTCCCACAGGCACTGTGTTTTACAGGTGACAGAAAGGAATCCTGGTGTCCAGAGCGAGACCAGGGCTGCAGTGGCAGGGCCAGCACCTGTAACATTCATTCATTCATTCATTCATTCATTCAACAACTATTCATTAGCTACATAAGAGACACAGTCCTGACCTTGTGGAACTTATCTAAGTGGGGGAGACAGACAACAAACAAAAATAAATTACAAATAGTAAAAGGTGATATAAATGTAGTAAAACTGCTTTGAGGGGTGGGGAGATGCAATATTAGGGTGGGAAGAAAAGCATCTTGAGAAGATGAAATGTGAGCATGTGCAGGAAGAGATACACGTGCGTGATCTGGGCGTAAGAGATGCATTTTAGGCAAAAGAATGGCAAGTGCAAAGGCCCCGAGGCAGGAACCAGCTGGGCAGGCACATCTGCATGACAAAGGAAGGCTGGTGAGTGTGGCGCATATGAATGAAGGGGAGGAAGGTGGGAGAAGACAATAAAAAGGAGAGAAAGGTCATGGTCAAATGGTGAAGAATCTGTAGGTCAGATAAGAATTGTGAATTTTATTCTAAATTCAATTAGAACTTTTGAGCAGGACAACGGCCAGTTTTTAAAGAATCCTCCCAGCAGGTCTGTGAAGGTAAAGGTAAGTACAGACTGGGTCCTCAAGGTTGAAACCCTTCCTGGTTGTCCTCAACCCTTCTGTGATGCACTGACTGTCCTCACGCCCAGACCCCTCAGTGGGCTCTGGGACATTGGGGCTGGGAAGGGCACAGGCCTATCCTGTGACCCAGGGGAATCCACCCCAGGTTGGGTTCCTGGACCAGGTGTTTGGGTCCACACCCAGTGATGCAGTGGCAATGCCAATACCTGCGACCTTGACAAGTTGTGTTGTCCTGCATCTCAGGAGCTGGGACACAGACCAAGGCACCCACGTAGCTCCACTCAGGAGCCTGCTGGCGACGAGAGAAAGCTGTAGCTCACGTAACACCTAAGACAAGGCTGGAAGCTGTAGACTCCAGGAGAAGGAGAAAACGCCCGGGGACTCACAGACAGATCACTGCCAGCAAGGAAGATACAGCCTTGAATTTGTCTCTTAAAACTTGTACTGGGGCTGTTCTGGGAAAGCAGCTCCACTGCCACTTTCTCCACACTGAATTTCTCCACCCGGGAGCGCTGAATAGTCCCTCGTCAGCCAAGCCCTCTACTGGAGGGCTGACTCTCAGCCAGGGACTGGCCTACTGGGGGGCTGAATCTGAGCTGGGAGCTGGCCTACTGGGGGCCTGAATCCCAGCCAGGAGCTGGCCTACTGGGGGCTGAGTCTCAGCCAAGAGCTTGCCTACTGGGGGCTGACTCTCAGCCAGGAGCTGGCCCACTTGCAAATGCATCGTTCATTCGTTTGCTCCCTGTCAGCCCAGAGGTAGTAGGTGTTTCCTTCATCTATTCCTGCTCTTCTTCATCCCTTTTACTAGTTCATTCTTTTTTTTTTAAATGTTTGCAAATCACATATCTTTTTTTAAAGATTTATTTATTTATTTTATTTTTAGAGAGGGAAGGAAGGGAGAGAGAGAGAGAGGGAGAGAGAGAAACATCAATGTGCAGTTGCTGGGGGCCGTGGCCTGCAACCCAGGCATGTACCCTGACTGGGAATCGAACTTGCGATGCTTTGGTTCGAAGCCTGCACTCAATCCACTGAGCTATGCCAGCCAGGTCTCTAAGTTCATTCTTTCGTTCAGTAAAACGGGGATGCTCACAGAGTTTTGGTTAATGAGAAAATGCACTTATTGCGGTTGCGTTTGGAGTGTCCATGATCAGAAAGGGGTTCCAGGAGGCCCAGTGAGAACAGCAGAAACAGAAAGGAGCTGGTGAGCAGAAGTCGAGACAGGCGGGTGGGTCCGTTGCTTATCGCCGGGATCAGGAGAAACCGGGCTTCGACAGGCAGCCAAGGTTCCCATCAGCAACTAAAGACACTGACAGATGAGTCAGCAAAAACCTGGGTCAAAAAAGGAATACGAGGAGGATTTGCAGGGTGCCCAGAGGAGGAATCGCAGGTTTTCTGAATGTGATGTACTGACTGTCCTCACGCCCAGACCCCTCAGTGGGCTCTGGGACATTGGGGCTGGGAAGGGCACGGGCCTATCCTGTAACCCAGGGGAATCCACCCCAGGTTGGGTTCCTGAGCTCAGGACTGAGCTCAGCCCATCATTGCACAGATCAGGCAACTAAACCCAGAGATGTTCCGCCTGGCTGGGCTCTCGCCCTCACAGGTTTATGGAGCTCCCCTTCAGGACAAGGAGCATAACCGTCCGCTGCCCAGTAGCTGAGCGAGAGCGGATGGAGCCCAGAAGGAGAGAGCCTGAACGAACCGCTCCAGGCTGGGAAGGTCCAGCTGGGCCTGCAGCTGGAATCGCCCTAAGGTCCACATACATTTTCCTTCTGGGGCCGGAGCTGTGCTCCATGCTTCCGTTTTCTACTCTCGCTCTCCTTGTGTCGCAAGAGGATAGCACGACTGGTTGCCAAGTCCCACAGTGGGAAACACACAAAGTTAAGTGCACTTATAACTAACAACAAAAATACCGGAGGCGGAGGAGATGATCTTCAACGCTGCGTTTATTCAAAAGTCCATAAATATGTTATATAGTACATAATAGAAACATGATAAAACTTGAATTAAAAAAACCACTCTACTAAGAAAGAAATACGTATTGCTCATGAAGATATTTGTGCGCACCAAGTTAGAGACCCTCGTTTACTTCACAGAAGCACGGCGGCAGGGAATCAAAGTTATCATACACATTACATTCATCACAGCACGGGAGGCTGGGATAGGGCTCAGCGGCTACGGAGGAGGCTGCCGTGATCTTGTCCCGGATGACCGCGAAGGGATTACTTTTTAAGTCCAAACAAACAGGTAGCTTTGGAGCTCTTAAGAAAAGACAGACACACACATGGGGTTAGAAATTTCTTCTTAGTCCATTTCTTACAGAGTCAAGGGTGCCTGAGAACTTCAGGGCTGGAGCCAGCCACGCGTGTGACACCGGCCTGAGATGAAAGCTCTCTGCCCCTGTCCCAAGGTCTTACCTTATTTATTCCTCTCCTTAGATTGCCCGAAATGTAAAATCAGATTACAGCAAGTAAGGGAGGGAGAGCGGGTTCCAGCTGTGGGCCACCCAGCTGGTGACTGCGGGCCCGCTCAATGCAGAGCATGATGGGGAAGGGGCCACAGTCAGCTGCTCCCCAGATTCTGGAAGGTACCTCCTAGCTCACAGGTAACAGGCTGGCCTCCCCTAGAATGGGAACAGCACTTTTCTGACAACAAATCTCTCCCATATTTGAGGCGTCCTCTCCCCAAAATTCGATTACTTGTCCGGTCTACACTCCTTTTCAGGTGTCTCCCAGGATCTTCACACAGTCTCACAGGCCCACGTCACTGTCCCCAGGGCCGTGGGCAGTGAGTGAGAGAACAGGGTGAGAGCCCCCGGCTCAGGCCCGGGGAGGCCAGCTAAGCCTGCCCTCTGCGTGAACGGGAGGCAGACACTCAGGGACAGGGCCCGCCCGCAGTCTGCAGTCTGCAGGGCCCGGGGCACAGGGAGGGCCACCCCTGAGCTGAGTCCCACAGCTGAGGGTGCACTCCACGGGGTCAGGTGACAGCAGGGAGCACTGACACGCAGAGCCACCTGCCGGCCGGGCTGACAACTCTCACCTGGGAGCTCACAAACCCAAGCCAGGAGGGGAAGAAGCCAAGGTCCTGTACTCACCGGCCTCTGCCTTTCCAGACCTGCCCGCTGCTCCCGACCTCAGCCAGGGTGCGGCCCCAGGGCAAGGAGGGGCCCTGCTCCAGCAGAGAGCCTCAGGGGTCCCACGGGAGGGGTCTTAATCACTCTTACCCACGTCACTCACTTCAATGCCTGGGACACTTTGAAGTAAAGGGAGAAGACAACACCTATCAACAGGAGCATAGCCATCAGGATACCGGCACCAATGCAGAGCATCAATATCGAGTTGGTTTTAGAAGACTCGGTTTTATCTAGGCAGAGAAGTGCAGGCACGCAGTGAATACAGCTTCCCTGCCCGCACCAGCACACAGCAACCTCAATAGGCTTCCTCCGGTGGAGGAGGAATCAACCCCAAACCATAGAGCTTAGTGTGTAAAACATAAATGACCCTTCCCAGGGAGGCCCGGGGGCTTGTGGAGATGAGGGCTTATTTATGAACGAGATATAAAGAATGCAAAATCCAGAGAGAAGGAAGGAAAATGGGAAGAACCTTCTCTCTCAGGCACAGGCAGTCACAGGCAGCCGGAAGGGACCAACGCGCCTGTACCTGAGCCTGTTGGTTTGGGAGGAAGTGGTTTTCCTCCCAAATGCCTCGGCCTCGTAAAATTTGTTCACTTGCGGAGTAAGGATTAACTCCTCACTGTATATCACACTCACAAATCTTCTGTGAGAATAAGAAAATAACTTTTTCACAATGTTCAACAACAGTGAAAATACACGAATCCGTTTCGTGATACCTGTTGTAGGAAATAAGTTTTCACTTCTCCCACTGACAACTGAATCCTAAATCCTACATCCTCCCAGGAAACCCAGTTTGTCGGGAATAAGCAACGTGCTTGACCTCACTCCCAGGGACTAGGTCAAAGTCAGCCGGGAAAGAAGAGACGACCCTCTGCCAAAGTGAACTTACCGTCCGTGGCTTCGTAGCTGGACCAATGCCGAGAGTTAAACACAATGACAATTAAAATAAACTTTAGGGAACCGGAGTACATCTTGTCAGGCACTTCTCCAACTTTTACTTGCGAAAGAAAACACTAGTTAGGCTCGTTAGGAGTGACTGAGTGGAGGTTCGCAGAGCTCCGGTTGGAAGCGCAGTCCCACCGGAGCTGGCAGAAGGGACGGCCACCCCCTGGCCCCAGCTGGTAGGCTAACCAGGCCGCGGGCTGTGTGACATCAGCGCCCCGGACACCAGCTCTGCTCCGTGGAGTTCTGAATTCCATTCCAGGCAGAGGTATGCCGGCTCCAGTGCAAGTATGATTGCCCTAAGGCTATTTTAAACCGCTGCGTCTCCGTCTCACCTTTTCCCGGGTCTGTGTCCTTCAGGGAACCTTTTCAGGTTTGACTGTTAATCAGAAGGAAATTTGGGTTCATAATAAAAGGACAACAATGTGGAGAGATGAACGCCTAAAAAGACTCACATATCTGAAAGTTCAATCATGAAAGACTGATGAGACTTTGTTTTAGCCACACAATGGAATAATATATATAGTTATAGCCACGTAACAGGATTCACTACAGATACACTGGCTTCAGAATATTGTCCTACTTGACGGTTCAGACAAAAAAGATCTCAAAAAGTAATATGAATAAGATACCTGTTCTAAATCAGATTTCTATGATTTCAAGGTGCTCACACCTGACACAGCTGGTTCAATTAAATAAGGGAATTATTTCAACTACAGAGGTTATTCTTTGCTGCTCTGGCCAAACCCTGGGCAAGACCATGGAAAGCAGTGAAGATATCGATAAAAATGGTGGCATAAGAACTCTGAAAATTCTCTCCTCTGTAAAAGCAATAAAAAAATAAAAAAATAAAAAAATAAAAATAAAAAACTTGGCAGCCTTGGCTGGTGTAGCTCAGTGGATTGAACGTGGGCTGCAAACCAAATGTCTCAGGTTCAATTCCCAGTCAGGGCACATGCCTGGGTTGCAGGCTACAGCCCCCAGCAACCGCACATTGATGTTTCTCTCTATCTCTCTTTCTCCCTCCCTTCCCTCTCTAAAAATAAAGATAATCTTTTAAAAAAAAAGATTCAATGATGTCCTGACGGGTGTGGCTCAGTTGGTTGGAGCATCATACTATAACCAAGAGGTTGAGGTTTCAATTCCTGGTCGGGGCACATACTTAGGTTGCAGGTCCCATCCCCAGTCCCAGCACATAAGATCCCAGGCCAGGTGCTTACGGGAAGCAACCAATTGATGCTTCTCTCTCACATGGATGTTTCTCTCCCTTCTTTTCTCTCTAAAAAGCAATGAAAAACTGTCCTTGGATGAGGTTTACATTTAAAAAGTCCAATGATGCCAACTCATGTATAATCATAACAGTAGAGAAAGCAAGAATGCCAATTTGATTCCACAAATAATTACTTGTGCCTACCATGTCTTAGATATTCAGATTATCAGCTAAATAGTTACGGGTCTGCCTATAAACCACTTGTGAATGAGGTAGGAGGAGGAACGCTTCCTCTTTTGAAACTGCTAATGAAGTCATGCAGCTGCTATATTCTCACAGAAATCCATGAACAGCTGGCGCTGATGTTTCCCTGGAGGCCCAAGTTGAGGAACAGGTGTAAGTGACAGGTAGATTAAGAATTTAGGTTTGTCAGCCCTTGTGGTTTTTTTCCTCGACACAACTTTGGAAATGTCTCCTCTGAAAGCACCTGGAGAGGTCTTGTCAGAATGAGCAGAAAACCCAAATTCTGGGCTGCTGTGGCCGACGCAGAGCATGGTGCTAACTTGAACAATGTGGCAGTGGCAGTGCGGGAAAGGAAGGAGGATCTGGGGAAATGCTCAAGTTTCCTTCACCTACGGTTAGATGCAAATAGCCTATTTAAATTACTTACCTTCCAAGACCAAGACCTGGGCAAGGGAATTGTGAGAGTCTCAGGGGAGCCATGGAAGAAGAGTTACTTTATCTGACAACTACTTTGTATTGCAAATGACAAAGGGGCTCCATTGCCAATAAGGTTATGGGCTGAATGGTGTATCAATCCCCCCCACCACCGCCCCAGCAAATGTATATGTTGAAGCCCAATTCCTATCCAATCCCTTCCTCCCCCAACTGTTGTATAAATACGCAATGAGGCTAAAATAAACCCAGGAGAGCAAACTGCAAACTCGGCACCATTTGGCCGCTTCCGGACCTGGCGCTGACTAACCAGCCCGTCCCTGCGGGCCGAAAGGTGCCCGTGTGGTGTCCTATGCTGGGGCGGCCAGTGGGAAAACGGGCAGTGACAGAAGCCAATAGTGTTCCTTTGTGTCATGGACAAGACACAGTCTGATGACGCCTGTGGACCCTCTTCCGAGTTACACATTGAAGTACGCAACATAAAATACATAGGACTACAAAGGAAATCGAGAAGACTGAAATACAATCACAACATATTTTCGAAACCGAAAATGTGTGATAGAGCGGTATCCACGCTTCTTTACAAACAGACGCGGTGCCGGGGCACCGGCAGGACGCAGGCTCCCACACACGAACCGCACAGCCTATCCCCACGGGGGTTCACTGTGGAACTACGTGCATTTATCAAAGGGCAAGGGATTCTTCCCTAAAACTTGTGACTCTTGCTGTATGTTAATTATACCTTAAGAAAACTGTCTCCTGAAAGTCGTGGAGGGAGTCTAATGGCTACACTTTTGAAGTTTTGATCAAGTTTTAAGATAGTGGTAAGCACACTAGTGCGGTGTGGAAACATCAGGGGTTCATTTTAGCGACAAGTTCCCAGGGGCTGGTGATCCTGCTGGGGTCTGTATTTTATCCTGATGACTGACGTGTAAACTGCAGTGCGAGGTGAGCAGAAACAGAGACGGCTTTTCCCAGCTTGGGTTGATGGCCCTCATAAAATCCACCCACAGAATGGAGGACAGAGAAGGTGGTGAGGCCGGTCGCAGATCAAGAGCTGCGTGGGGCGTCTGTGAACAAGCGGAGAGTAAGCAAGCGGCCATCAGGCATCAGAGACAGGGACGGGGGGCAGCAGGGTGGCGGAGACTGAGGTGAGGGTGACAACATTCACCTCCCTGTGCCGCGGGGCACCCGGAAAGTCCCATCTCCTCCAGCTTTGCAGACCCTTTCGGCCCCAGCTCCGACTCTACTTCACCAGAGACCCCTCCCCCGGTCCTGCTCGCTCGGCCGAGACCAGGGGTGCAGATCAGCCGGTGCGGCCCCTCCTTTGGCTGGCTCCAGGCCTCCGTGTTCCTGCAGCCTGAGCGCTCAGGTCTCCAGGCCCCGGCGCCACTGGCTGGGCCACGGCTACGACGGAGAGGTCGCCCGTCCCGGCGCGCGCCAAAGCTTCCTCGGACACCACCGCCCCAGTGCCGCCCCGGGATCCGGTCAAGCCTCCGCCTGCTCACGCCGCACCGCCGCCTTCCACCTCACCACCGTCTGGGGGGACAGCGTGTGTGGGCAGAGGAGGGAGAGTAAACGAGAAAAAAAAAAAAGAGAGAAAACGCCAGCTCCACGCCCGGGCCCGGGCCGCCGCGCGCTCCGCTGCAGTGGTCGGGATGCCCGGCCGCCCACTCGGGGGGAGGACTGCCAAGTCCTTCAGGTGGTGTGGAGCCGCCTGACCACACACTCTCCTCCTTAGATCAGCCCTCCCGGGCCGCCCGGCAACGGTTGTCCATAACCCGTCTCTTTTCTGGGGACAAAGTATAAAGAACCACCGGGTCCCGCTCCCAGCGCATCGCGCCTGCGCACAGCTCTCGCGGTGGGACACAGGTGCCGTCAGTGCGCATGCTCCCCCCATGGGGGTCTCCCGGCAGGTTTTGAATCCAGACGCCAAATACGGCCCGGCTCGCGCATGCGTCTCTGCCGCACCGGGCTCTCTTCCCGCTGGAGCCAGAGGCGCGGCTGCTGGGTTTAAAGCCGGACGAGCCGGAAGTGGCTCGGCTTTCTCACCTCCCCTCCGCCCCGGCGGAGGCTCAAGCTCCGGGAGACAGGTTCCGGGGCTGTCCTGGCCTGGAGGTGGCCGAATGGCGACCGAGACCGAGGGTGGGCTGTGGACCCCTCGCCCTTCGCTGGCCTCTTCCTGGGATGCCACAGGCGGGGCCCTGGACCAGAGCCTCCTTGTCACCGGAGCTGGTGTCGGCGCCCGGGACTTCGAGTGGGAGGAGCTGCTGGCGCCGCCTGCCCCAGGGTGCGCCTGGCCGGCGGGGACGGGCTGGCTGCTCGGTGACAGCCACGCTCCTGGGGGCGTTGTGAGGGGAGGCCAGGGCAGTGAGGGGAGAGGGACTGGGCCCGGGATCCCGGAGCGGAGGTGGTGAGCGGTCAGTGCGGGGAGCCAGGGCCGGCGTGGGTGAGGGGCAGGGCCTGGGCGGCTGGAGGGCCGGGGCGACTGCACGGCGTCAGTGTCGGGCGCAGGGGCTCCTGGGCAGGTGACCCAGAAAAGGCATTCGACACACGGGCGGGTAAATCCGTCAGGTCGGCCCATGAGTGCACCTGTCACAACCGGAATCCGCCTCTATGCCCAAGTAAACAGAAAGCTCCTGTCCACCTCCTGTCAACCAAAAGAGGCGTTAAAAAGTGTCAACAGTTGAGAATCTCCATTCTCTTAATTTTTGCAAAAGATACACTCTCTTTTATCGTATGGTGCTTCCCACTCTTATGCACAGAACTGGTGTCTGCTGAACTTTATTAAAATGAGAAGCAATAACGGGGTTGAGTACGATGTCGATGATCAAGGGAAAACGTAGGGGCAAACCCTGAGGTCTGAAGTATCCATTTCTTGATGGATTTGTATCGAACATGTTTTGGGGACTTGGGGAGGTGCGTGAACCCCAAAGGCAAATGGCAGGGAATACAAGAAATACGGCTTAGTAAGTGGGTTAGTAACAGTGTTTGGAGGACTATGCTGTATGATATTCTTGTGTTCTTTCCAGCCAGGACCCGGTGATTTTGAAAAGGAGCCTGAACAGCCCAGAGGAAACCCCCTGCTTCCTTTACCTGCGCTGTGACCCTGAGGCAGGGGAAGAAATAGTTTCTGTTGGCGTTTTAAGTTCGGCGAGAAATATGGAGGTGTATGTAGCAGAGGAGTACAGTGGAACCAGTCGGGGCAAGACTGTTCCCGATGTTCTGGAGAACAGGTGTGTGGCTTCTGCGTGTGCCAGTGTTCTTCCGGAGTAGTGTGTTTCTTTTCCTCCCCTTTGCAGGGTGTGTTGATTGTCTGACATTGGTGCCAGGCGTTAGGGGGAGAAGCTAAAACACACCTGCAGGAATAGAACGTTAGACCTTTAAGGCATCTTAAGAGGGTCCAGATCAGCTTTCTTATTTTCATAAGTAGGGAAATGTAGAGCTAAGAGAGGGGAAGTGACTAGAGGGTTGTACTAGTCAGTCACACTATATAGACGGCCTGGAGTGGGGCTCTTGTTGCCGCTGCCTGGCTTTCAACACGACTCTTTTGGAAGGAAGACATTGCATGTGTCACACAGGCCCAAGGCTGCGCCACATCAGCCTGTTTAATCCGTAATCCATCCTGTTGTAATTTGATGCTTTTCGTTTAGGCTCTTACACAAAGATTCTACCCTAACCTCTCCTTAGCATAAGTCAAAATATGGACTATTTTCTGTATTGTGCATATGGAAACTAAAAGGTACATTTATTGAGCTTTACAATATGCTCTGTGCTGCGGGGTTTTATATACATCATCTCATTTAATTCTCCCGCTAAGGTAGAAAGAGCAGGCATAGTGCTTATCACCAAGTTGCTCGCATAGGGACCCCTAACTCTTTGTCTCTTGCCGCACAGATTGAATCTCGGGGTTTGAGTAAGGGCCTAGAAACTGTTTGTCTTTAAGGGTAGCTACTAAAAAATGATACTAAAAGTGAAAATAATTTAAATCCCATTTTATTTTTAGTGAACATGAAATTATTTTCTACAAAAAGTATTTAAAATTGGAGTCTCCCACTCTTGCTTGTAAAATCAAGGTAAGTCATCACTAAATTTTAACTAATTTGACAGCTGCAAATGCGTTTGTACTTATTTTCTGTTGGTTTGGTAATACAGTTAATCCAACTTTGTTGTAGGTTATGTTTATATAAAACTATACTGTTGAGACAACCACAAGCAGTTTTGGCTCCGTTGTGTGTGTGTGTGTGTGTGTGTGTGTGTGTGTAAAGGAATTAGAGAAGTTATAGAGAAGAACATCTGGAAGCTGAAAGAAGTTGGACTGCTGTCTTGAGTATAAAAAATAGGTCGAGGTGAACTTTTGTGATGTGCCTGAAATCTGAAGAAAGGGTTCTGAGCTGGACATCACAAAGGGTCATTTCATTTAGGGAAATTCTAAACCTACTAAAGCTTGTTCGGGGACAACGGCAAGGGAAAGTTAAAAATAGTAGTTGCTGAGGCACGTTTTTGAACACTGCCGTAGAAGCCAGAAGAGCGAAGTTCCAGGCCTGACTTCTGCTAATTGGGTAACTCTTTGACAAATCAGAAAATTGCCCTTGACCTCATCTTTTCTATGTGAGAGCCAGCAGGTAATGTTAGAACATCCTGAGTTTCACTTGGAATTCTACATCGTGAAACACTGGCTTATATTTAGGATTTAAGACATATGTTGCAAGATCTTCTGAATATTCATATTTTGTATGAAATTATAGCTAGCCGTGGTGTGTTATCTTTTTGAAATAGTTTATTTTTATTCCTTAAATTAAGAAAATGAAACTTTATTTACCCTTTTTGTATAGTATATATTTTTTTCAGCTATTCTTTTACATAAATAGTTCTTCTAGCCTCATAATAAATTCAAAGTGCTGACCGTCACAATTTTAGGGAGCACTTTAACATGAAAATGCATTTGAACTTTATATTTGCTTTCCCAAATACTTCACTACTGCTAGCTTGTACCAAAAAAAAAAAAATTAACCTCCAGTAGTGATTATTACTTAATATTATTTGCCTTGGAACTTCTTGTTTTATGTTAGTTGCTGTCCTTCGGTGAAAAGCAGCGTGTGCTGGTCAGCAGAGTCGTGGCGCACGTGGGGCCGGCCTCGGCGCGCTCTCCCGCGGTGGGTGCGGGGCTGGACCTGCAGCGGGTCCAGACCATCGTGCGGTCCATGGGGTCCACCTTGTCGCCCGGAGCTCAGCAGCTGATGAGCATGGTCAGCTTCCAGCAGCAGGTGAGCAAAGGGGGGTTTTTTCCTGGATGCCAAAACTTTCAAAATTAATGGCTTTTTATAATATGTACGGGCTTAATTTTTTTCTTTGCACTTTTATTATTGATTTGCCTATTATCTGTTTACTTCTGTAAAAATCACATTTTGTAGACCCACTGTCTTACAAAATATTTTTGTTACAGATCTTCACAGTTTTTCATGAATTGAGTCACTCTTTCAGCCAGTATCTACTACCCCGTTCTCAGGGACTGAGGCACGTTTTGAGCACTTGAGAAGATTTAAAGATCAGTTTTCTGTATTGTGTCTTTAAGGGTCTTTATAGTCTTATTTTTCTAGGCCTTTAAAGGAGAAGGCTGGGATCAGGCGAGCAGAGTTGGAGGAATGCACTTTCACAGACAGAAAACAGTATGCGTGAGGTCTTCAGTATTAAAGGGAGCAGGACATAGCTAGGACGTGGATATACGTTCACGGATGTGGAGAAAGAAGTGACGGGAGGTTTCAAGTAGATCAGGCCTGGGGCGCGGGGCTTTGGGCGCTGATCTTGAAGTCTGGAGGGGTTTTCGCCTTGCCTTTCAAAGACGCGCTCGTCCCCGCTGTGTGCAGGGTGAGCCCGAGGAGGGGCGGCGCTGTCCAGGGTGAGGTGGCAAGGCGGGCAGCTGCCCGCTGCTCCCTCGCCCCCACGAGGGTTGCTGAGGGTCGGACGTCGGACACAGTGGCGTGGTGCTGGGCTGTGAGCTGCCAGCACGATGGGCGGGGAGGGCTTGACAGCTCACTGGGTGTTGGTGTCGTGGGTGAGAAGGAGAGTGAGCCGTGACACTGCTGTTTTGAGATGATGACACCAGTAATACACGTGGCACCCGAGAGAGGAGACTGCTTGGGAAGGAAAGCATTTCGTGTTGGGACACTGACTATCGGATGTGAATAAATAACATGGGTGGGGGTGTGGTGAGCCTCAGGAACACAGGTTGGGGGTGGCGGAGTGGAGGGAGGGCTCGGGAGGTGTCCCCCTAGCAGAGGACTGGGACACTTAATACTGGAGAGTAATGGTAGCGCACTTCCAGTGGCTGCGTTGAGGATCAGATGAAAGAATGCGCATTGCCTGGTTCTAAATTACCCGCAAAGGCAGCTGTCATCATTATTGCTAGTAACATTTACTTGTTTCCTTGGCTTAGAACTGCATTTCCATCGGAGAGCAGCTTCAGTCAGTTTTGGGAAAGACTGCATTCACGCAAATGATGGGCCTGCAGGCGTTGTGTCCGTCGGCAGCCTGGGACGGGTCACCCTCCACACCTTCTCCCTTCAGAGCTGGGTTGACTCCTGGACGCGTGACTGGCGGCTCCGAAGCTCACACTGACAGCAGCACCCAGCCAGCCGCTGGAGGACACGTTACAGACCTCAAAGGGTGTACGGCTGTGCCGCCGAACCATTCTCTTCCCGACGGTGATCTGAAGAATGCGGTATCTTCTCTCCTCCCGAAGAAAGCGAGTGACCGCTCGGGTGCACCCAGCTCAGAGCTGCTGCCTCTTCTGCAGAGTCTGTGCAGCCACGTTAACGGGCTCCGTGGGGGCCAGAAGGCCGAGCGGCCGGGCGCCGTCTCCAAGCCCAGTGACGGCATCGCTGCTGTGGCGTAAGTATTTGTTTTAAGACAAACATAGTTTAGATTTGGTAGATGGGAGAATGAACGGAAGGGAAAAGATCTGTCTCAAGAGTACTGCCTGAGTACCAAATGAGTTTCCAAAAATAATTTCAGGAGTTTTACATTTTACCATTAACAGACTTATAAGGAATGACCACTACACAAAGTGAAACTTGGTTGCTTTGAAAGAGGTGTAAAAGAGGTGCTTCGGACTTCTCAGGGGTTGTTGTGAAAGGGTTACAACCGTCAGATGGACGTTGGAGTGGAAAGTTATTTGCATCAAGAGAGAATAGCTGTGGATTCATAACCTTTACACTGTTTTTATTTGTACTCTTTTGGCTGGATATGTTGGCATGCCATTGTAGCAGATTTTTCTCTTTAGATCATGTTTGACTTAGGCTAATTTCGGAATAATCAAAACTATATTAGGATGATCTTTATTTATAGTAAACAGTCTCTTATCCCCTGATTGTATAATCCCATGTTTTGGCAGCATATATCTAAGAGACAGTTAAATATTTCGTATACTTCCTATCCTTTACGTAAACATAGCATATGAAAATAGTGTTCTCGACAGGAATTAGGACTCTGGTCATAGTTTTGGCTTAACCACTTTGCCACACTCTTTAATGTCCCTTGTTTTAGAGTTTTCATCTGAAAATGAGGTAGCAGCATTGGTTTAGAACTAAACAGTACTACCTGCCAGCGGGATCTAATTGGCATTTAAAGAAGACCCCACTGACAGTAGCAGAAAACACATTTTTTCCAAGTGTCCATGGAAGATTCACAAAGGGAGATTACATTTATAAAGTAAACCAAAATTAAAAGGATTGAAATCCTACAAAGTATGGTCTCTGATCATAAATTAATCCAATCCAACCAGAAATTGATGAAAAACAAGAAAATTATCAAACATTTGGAGATTAAATAACATACTTCTAAATAATCTACGGTTCAAGAAGGAAATCCCAACAGACATTTTAAAAAACACGTGGTAATTAATGAAAATACAACAGATCAGACTTTTGGGGGTGCGGCTGCAAGTGCTGAGGAGGCTGTTTACAGCACTAAACGCTTGCATTGTAAGATGGGAGAGGTCTCAATGACACAAACTAAAACAGTCAAGATGAAGTAATGGTCAGAATAGCTCTGTAACCATCCATCAAATTGAATTTTTAATTTAAAAGCCCAGCAAAATAAACCCAAAGCAAACTGCAATAAAGAAATGACAAAGTAGAAGTCAACAAAATATAAAATGGAAACTACAAAGAAAATCAAGCAAAATGCCGGTTCTTTAAAAATTTCAATGAAATTCATACACTTCTTGTAGGGCTGGCCAACAAGTCTGGCAAAGACTGACAGGAATCACCAACATCACAAATGTAACAGGAGGTATCACTACAAGTTCTTGGACCATTAACGTGGTAAGGGAATACTGCAAGTTACTCTGTGCTCATAAATGACAATTTAGAAGAAATGGATTAAGCCCTCAAAACCCACAAACTTGCAAACTCAACCAAGACGAAACATGCAAACAATGCAAGGCAGTCCCATAACCACCGAAAGTGCTGGATTCGTGGTTGGGAAGCGCATGGAAAGAAACATCCAGGTCCAGGTGGTTCCAGTGAAGAAGTCTACCAAACATTTAAAGAACACCAAATTTATACGCTTCCAAAAAGTAGAAGAGGAGGGAAGACTTCTCAATTCATTTTACAAAGCCAGTATATCCTGATACCAAAATTAGATCGTTCTAAAGAAAATGAGATTCATAAAAATACATATAAATCCGTAGAAAATATATAATTATAGAAGTAATTAAAAATATACCAAACTCAACAAAATATATGCAGGATGTATAGATTGTAAATTAGAAGATGCTGATGAAGTGAATCAGAGAAGACCTAAATAAATGGAGAGATGGGCCATATTCATGGGTTTGAAGAGAGCACAGTAAAAACCCCAGTGTTCCCCAAATTGATGTATTTCTATAAAAAGCTGCGAAAGATTTTGTAAACATAGATAAGTTTATTCTAAAACTTGGAAAGATAAAGATAAATTAAAGATAAAGGAACTAGAATAGCTGGAATAATTTTGAAAAAAGAATATAGTGAGAGAAATCAGTACTTGATTTCAAGACGTAGCTGCAACATTCAAGACTGATGTTGACCGAGGGACAGACTCACGGATCAGTACAGGTATGGCCAGGGGGTGAGCGATGAGGGCACAGCAGCAGCTCCATGGGGCAAGGACAGTCTCTGGGACCCACGGAGCAGGAGCAGCTGGGTGTCCCACGGGCGAACTGTGAACCGTGACCTGAACCTCATACCTTACACAGAAACTCCATCGAAATGGACCATGGACTTCAATGTAAAATACAAAGCTATAAAACTTCTCTAGTAATACTTGGGAGAAAATCTTGGGAGCCTAAGACTTGGAAACACCTCCTTAGAAATGACACGAAAAGCAGGGTAATTGAAAATTTGCTGTAGTGGACCCGTCAAAAGACAAAACTTTAGCCCAGTAAAAGACCTCGTTAAGAGGACTAAAATATAAACTACAAAGTGGGGGAAAATATTTGCAAATAACAAGTCCAACAAATAAAATATTTAAAATACAGGGTGGGGCAAAAGTAGGCTTACAGTTGGGAAATAGTACAATAATTAATGAATAATACTTTATAATAATACTTATTATAAATAATAATACTTATTATAAATAATAATACTTGAGGAATCAGCTGTGGTCCTGGATGGGTGGCTCATTGGAGCATCACCCCATACACCAAAAGTTTGTGGGTACCATCCCCAGTCGAGGCACATAAGCGAGGCCACCAATTGATGTTTCTCTCTCACATCAGTGTTTCTCTCCCTCCCTCTCTCCCTAAAATCAATAAAAACCTATCCTCAGCTGAGGATTAAAAAAAGAATAAACTGTTTCACTTGCTTGTAACTGTAAGCCTTTTTTCCCCCACCCTGTGTGTAAAGAACTCTCAAAACTCAAAATTTAAAAAAAAAAAAATCCAGCTGGAACATGGACAAAAGACATAAAGAGACCTTTACCAGAGGGGACGTGCAAGTAGCAAATAAGCCCATGAACAGGTGATCGAGGCTGACCGCCTGGCTACTAGGGAAATGCAAATAAAAACCACAGCAGGATGACACTACAAAGTTATTCTGATGACTGGGAGAGAAAGCTTAAAAAACGGTAACAACACCAGATGCTGACGAGGATGTGGAGAGTCTGAGCTCTCATACGTTGCTGGTGGGGATGTAAATGGCACAGCCAGTCTAAAAATTATTTTACAGTGCCTTGAGAATGAAACACACAGTTACCATGAGACCCAACAGTCATACGAGGTCTGTCTAGAAAGTATCCGGCCTTGTAATATGAAAAGTAGAGACATTTATTAAAGAAGATACAAGAGACATTGTACATAGGACAATGACGTCTCAGTCCCCTTCAAAGCAGGCACCTTGGGACCTCACACGGTTCTCCCAGTCACCATCAGCTGCCCCATCGCGTTTTTCTGAATCTCATCAATAGTGAGAAATCACTTTCCTTTCAAAATTAATTTTAGTTTCAGGCAAAGCCAGAAGTTGCAGGGCGCTAAATCTGGGCTGTAGGGGGTGCTGAGTCACCTGGGCGATTTGATGTTTCACCAAAAAACTGAACGAGACGTGAAGCGTGAGCAGACACATTGTCGTGATGAGGCTGCCAGTCACCAGCTGCCCATGGCTGCGGCCTTCTGAGTCATCTGAATAGTTTCTGTGGAGGAATGTTCAAGCTTAACACAAAATCTGATGCAGATTCTTTGCTCTACTCAGTCATTTTGAATGCGACAGCCACACAGTGCACATGCTCACTCAATGGCATCTACCGCCCCCGCTGACTAGCCCAGTGAAGTCGTCATTGTTCACGCATGTGCCATTCCGTCCACTCTCCTTGGCTGCCAGGTTACACTGATGTCACGCAAACCATTCTCATTATATTAACAGTGGCTGGACTTTTTCTGGACAGACCTTGTACTCCTGGGCATTTATCTCAGAGAAATGAAAAGCTTATGATCGCACCAAAACCTGTGCATCGTTATTCATAGAAGCTTTATTTGTATGTAATAGTCCAAAACTGGAAACACTCAAAAAGTCTTAAAACGGTTGAATGGTTAAACAAACAGTGCTGTATCCACATCACAGACGCTGATCAGCAATTGAGAGGAATGAACTGTTGATACCCACAAAGTTTGGATGGTTGTCAAGGGCACTGTGCCGAGTGACAGGAGGTCACACACTGCATGGTTCCATCTGTGCAGGCGTACCTCGGAGGTACCGCGGGCTCCGTCCCAGACCACTGCAGTGAAGAGAGTGTGGCAACACAGTGAGCCGTGATCTTTTTGCTGGTGGAGGCTCTGCCTTTGATCTGTAAAAAATGCAACATCTGTGAGGCCCAGGAAAGCAAAGCACCGTGAAACGAGGTCTGCCTGTATAAAATGATGGGGATGGAACATGGTGGAGGTCACCAGGTGTTACAGACGGGGGGGACCTGGGGAATGGAAGTGACATTAAAGAGGTGGCCGGGGAAGATCTCCGTAGTTAAGGAATAGTTTTGCACCTTCACTGTTCACATGAATGTATGTACAGGTGAGAAAGTGGCGCACACGCGCGCACACACACACACACACACACACACACACACTCTGTCCTAACATCAGTGTCCTGGGTTTGATGGGAAAAGTGAATAGACAGGTTCCAAAGGCAGGGCCCTTGCAACCACTGGGTGAGAAGGGTACTGGGGACTCGAGTATCTTTATAATTTCCTGCGGATCTACTTACTTGAAAATAAAGTACAAAATCTTCATATAATCTAGAGCAGTGGTTCTCAGACTTTGTGATCTTTTTGCTCTTAAAAATAATTGAGGATTCTAAAGAAATCTTATTTATGTAGGTTATATAAAATATTTGTTTAAAAATAAATTCATTATATAGTAACGTAACTTTTATGAAAAATGTTTTAAGAAGTTCAATGAGAATTTACATAAATGTATGCAAATCTACATCAGCTTTTGGTTGCATTCTCAAATATGTCGCATTGTAGCATGTATAACCAGTGTCTGGTATGACCACAGTAGAAGTAGTCAGAAAAAATGAGTTAATCTCTGAAAAAACATTGATACCTACAACCTACTACCTTAGCAAAGTCTAGGAAACAGAAGAAGAGGCACCCACACGTCCTATGTTAGTCATCAGAGCAATGACATTTTACGTTGTGTAGCCTCTGGAAAATGCCCTGTACATTCGGGAGCATATGTGGATGGTAAGTTCAAATGATATGTTAGGGTTACCATAAAAGTAATTCGATCACGGAGCCCCTGAAAAACCCACGGAGATGCCAGCGTTTTCTGGCGTGGTATTCGGATCTCGTGTTCGTCCATTGTGAACTTTAGAAATGGGCGTGTTTTTTACTATATCTTATTGGCCCAGTCCAGTTACATTTATTTTTAAATGTTTTCAAATTAGAGAAGAGCCTTCCAGCCCTTTAGGAAGGCTGTGGGGCTGAAAAAAGACACAACTTGAAATTGCTTGCGGAAGCACTGCATGCATGGAGACCTTAAAGAATAATGCAGCCAGACCAGTTCAGAATCAAAAAGACCATTTCTAAAGACTTGTTCTTTGAGGGTAGAAATTCTGTCCTCATTCCATATCCTCATTTTAATGGTGTGCTTAAATGTTTACCGCATTAAAGAAATAAAGCTCTGGGCATTCAGGTTTGTGGTTGCCCACTATGTCTATTTGGGACTCGAAGTGTCATAGGGAGACAGAGCACAGTTGTGACAACAGATTCCAGCAATGTAAGTTGGCCTCTTGTATAGTTTGGTTGTTTTCGTTACAATGTTAGAGATAATTGTTATATTATTATTTTTAAATTTATTTTTAGAATGGGCGAGCAGCCTGTTTGCTCCTACTTGGAAAAGATTCTCACTAAAAGTATGGACCTGCTGGAAAAGAGACTCACGGACCACATCGACCAGCGCGTCCGCGCCCTCCAGGAGCACATAGAGGGGAAGATCGCGGCGCTGGCGGACTTACTGCAGAGCCCCGGCTCCCCCGCCGCCGCCGGGCTGCCCCTGAGGCTCTGTGACTCTGCGGAGAGGCTTTCAAACGGGGAGAGATGAGTGGCCGCACGCACAGCGCACTGCAGACTTTCACGACGCATTTATCACAGCGCCCAGCCCAGACAGCGCAGAGCAGGCGTCCGGCGTCATTGAGGTTCACCGTCTTACCTGTGTGAGTGACCTCAGGGTTCCTTGGAGCTGACCTTGTTGTCAGTCTAGTGCTGTGCACTACGAGTGAACCTGATCGGGCCATAAGTTATTTTTTTAATATATTTTATTGATTATTCTATTACAGTTGTCTCATCCCCCCCCTTTCCCTGCTGATAACCCTCCATGTGATCTCCATTTCTGTGTTGCTCTTCCTGTTCTAGTTGTTTGCTTAGTTTGTTTTTGTTGTTGTTGGTTTTTTTAGGTTCGGTTGTTGATAGTTGTGAGTTTCTTGTCATTTTACTGTTCATATTTTTGATCCTCTTTTTCTTAGATAAATCTCTTTAACATTTCATATAATAAGGGCTTGATGATGATGAACTCCTTTAACTTGACCTTATCTGGGAAGCACTTTATCTGCCCTTCCATTCTAAATGAAAGCTTTGCTGGATAGAGCAATCTTGGATGTAGGTCCTTGGCTTTCACGACTTCAAATACTTCTTTCCAGCCCCTCCTTGCCTGCAAGGTTTCTTTTGAGAAATCAGCTGACAGTCTGATGGGAATGCCTTTGTAGGTGCTTGCTGCTTTTAAGATTCCTTATCTTTAATCTTGGGTAATGTAATTATGATGTGTCTTGGCATGTGCTTCCTTAGGCCGAACTTCTTTGGGACTCTATGAGCTCCTTGGACTTCCTGGAAGTGTATTTCCTTTGCCAAATTGGGGAAGTTCTCCTTCATTATGTTTTCAAATACGTTTTCAATTTCTTGCTCTTCCTCTTCCCCTTCTGGCACCTCTGTGATTTGGATGTTGGAACGTTTAAAGTTGTCCCATAGGCTCCTAAGCCTCTCCTCATATTTTCGAGTTCTTGTTTCTTCCTTCTGTTCTGGTTGAATGTTCATTTCTTCCTTCTCCAAACCGTTGATTTGAGTTCCAGTTTCTTTCCCGTCACTGTTGGTTTCCTGTACGTTTTCCTTTATTTCACTTTTCATAGCCTTCACTTTTTCCTCTATTTTGCAACCATACTCAACCATTTCTGTGAGCATCCTGATCACCAGTGCTTTGAACTGTGCATCTGATAGACTGGCTGCCTCTTCGTCGCTTAGTTGTATTTTTTCTGGAGCTTTGATCTGTTCTTTCATTTGGGCCATACCTTTTTGGTGCACCTGTTACTTCATAAGGGGCAGGGCCTTAGGTCCTCACAAGGGCGGGGCAACCCACGTAGCTGCATTGTGGCGCTGTATGTGGGGGAGGGGTCCGAGAGAGAACAATGCTGCTTGCTCAGCTCTCAGCCAACTTTCAGTTCCTTCCCCCGCTACCCACAAGCACATTGGACTCTTCTGGTGCCGATTCCCATGTGTGTGGGCTTCTAGCACTCTGTGGGTCTCTCCAACAACCTCCTGTAAGTCTTGGAGTTTCTCCTGCATCCTGAACCCCTACGGGTGTTTTCAATTAGAGGTTTTGAGGCTTTATTTCCCAGTGCTGGAACCCTGGGTTACGCGGTCTGCCTCACTCCCCAGTTGTTCCTCCCAGTTCATCCGCATGCAAGTGTGGGACCGCCTGCTCCGCCAGCTGCTGCCTCGCCAGCCCAGCCCTCCAGCCGCTGCCTTGCTGTGAGTCCTCTCCGCCTCGGGGGCCCGCTCCGAGCCTCCTACCGTCTGGATGAATGTGTCTTCTTTAACTCCTTGGGTGTCAGACATCCGTACAGTTTGGTTTTCTGTCACTTCTGGTTGTTTGTTTTTAAATTTGTTATTGTCCTTCTTTTGGTTGTGCAAGGGGGCAAGCGTATCTACCTATGCCTCCATCTTGGCCGCAAGTCCCAGGTCATAAGTTATTTTGTTTGCAAATGGTTTACTCTTACAGAAATTTATGCAAACTTCTGTGTTGTTTAAGTGCTTAAAATTTTTAAGGATTTCTAATGCCATGTGTTTGATAGAAGTATATTTTTATTTACAAAAAACCTTATTTCATAGTCCTGGAAGTATGAAAAATAATGCTCCGAGTATTTGATAATTCTTTTTCCTAATTGTTCTTGAAAAATTGGATACTTAAGACTTGGAACCTTTAACTCAGATCTCGAATTTACATTTTGTACCGCCTATCTGAGACAGTAAGATGCAGTGTTTGGCACCTCTGCATGCACACGGGGATGCCGTGGTGTCTGCCTCAGTACAGGGTAGCAGTGAACAGGAGAGAAACGTCAGACCAGCCTGCTGCTTGTTAGGGTTATACCTTCAGATTTACTGTTGAATGTAAAGCAAGGGCAGGTGCCTTGTTTTGTGTCCATCAGCCCAGAAGGCACAAGGAGCTGTCCTCCTCTGAGCCACCCTTTCCTGGGACACCGCAGTGCTACGAGCTGCGGCTCCACGCGGAAGGAGAGAGGCAGGCGACGCAGGGGAAGGCGGCTCTCGCTGGCGGGCTTCATGGTCAGAAACTCTAACTATTGCCTGGGTGCTGAGGGGTGATGTATTTGCACCTAAAAAGTAAATGTGTCCATTCTGGACACTACTTAGCTTAAGTTAATAGAATTGCTTTATTTTCAGTGACCCTTTGCTTATTTGTGTACACTTTACTCAGTTTTGTGATACTGCCCACAACACAGGACGCATTGCTGCCCCAGCCACGTGAGGGTTTGCACGTCCCTTTTTCTAGTCTTTTCTAGTTTGTGGGACAATCACAGCATTTATAGCTACAAGATCGTATTTCCTCCCTGGCTGGTGTGGCTCAGTGGATTGAGTGCCGGCCTGTGAACCAAAGGGTCGCCAGTTCGATTCCCAGTCAGGGCACATGCCTGGGTTGCAGGCTGGGTCCCTGGTCGGGGGCGCATGAGTGTCAACTACGCATTGATGTTTCTCTCCCTCTCTCCCTCCCTTCCCCTCTCTCTGTAAATAAATAAATAAAATCTTCAAAAGAAATAAACACTTTAAAAACAATTTTTTAAAAAAGATAGTATCTCCTTGTCACTCAGGAGCAGTCTGTCTCACTTCGGACTGAGCCCTTCGCTCAGTCGCACAGCTTCTGGCGTTTGTAGCCTCTTTGCTGACTGCAGAACGCCTCCCCGCGAGGGGAGCCCCGACCCTGCCTTCAGAGCCAGGGCCGCGACAGAAGCAGGTGTTGGCAGTTGAAGACAATGGCAGACTTTCCGCACGAGGACATGCAGCTGGGGAGCGGGATCACAACCATTTAAACAATGTCTGGCAAGGTGAAATTTCATGTCGCCGTTCAATGGTTTCCCCCCACACACTGTGAATTCCACACGTGTGTGGGCCTTTGTTAAGTGGAGCGCGGGGTGCCGGACAGTGGTCCCCACTTAACAAAAGACGACAGCAGACATTGGAACAGGGCTTCTCGCTCACAGTCCTGGAGGAAGCACAGCGCAGGCCTTGAGGGGGCACGCGAGGAAGTCAGAGTCGGGGCCTGGGGGGTGGCGCGTGCTGGCGCTGGGCCCCATGCCCAGTGGGGGAGGGGGGAGTGCTTCGGGGTCCGGGGCTGCGGCTGGGTCCGGCAGCTCACACCAGCGAGAGTGGGGCTTCGGTAGCTCCCCGGGGAAGCCTGGGAAGACGGCTGATCGCACGGGCTGTTGGGGGAGGCGCCTGGGGAACACGGCCTGTAACTCTCTGGGCTGGGACCGCGTGCCTGCAGGAGCGGTCGGGCGTGGGTTTAAGGCCCCCACAAGCTGCTGGGCCAGACACAGTGGAAACCAAGGCAGCGGGTAGGTAACTCAGGGGAGAAGCTGGCTCTCTGCTTTTGTCTTTCATTTTATACCCGAACTAATACCTCCCTGGCAGCCCACACTTGCTGACTCCCCGGGGTGCTGAGAGTAAGGGTGTCTGCAGGGTGACGTGCCGGCGCGGGCAGCAGTGGCCCGAGGATCCGTGAGCGCAGCTTTGTGATTCCATGTAGGTTGCAGGCACTTGTTTTCTTCTCAGTGGGACCTGCTTTGTGAATCCACACCCACAAGGCTGTTCACCCAGGCTAGGTGTTTGGGGGGTGTGTGTGTGTGTGTGTGTGTGTGTGTTTGGGGCGAAGTACCCATCAGGCTAGGTGTTTGGGGTGTGTGTTTGGGGCGAAGTACCCATCCCGTGACTAACACCCGGATCAGGTTGTTGCAGACACCACAACACCTGCAAAATCACGCCTCTGGTGGCGGAGAGCAGCCTGGATCTCAGGCCACTGGGAGGAAGCCCGGGGCTCCCCCTCATGTGGCCCCGGTCTCACCTCGCTGCCTCCCCCACAGCTCCTCCCGCTCTGCCCCCAGGGCTCTCATCTTCCCCTTCGACCCCTGCTGGCCCAGGAGCTTGCTGCGGCCCTGGCACTGCCCCGAGGAGTCCAGTGTTGCCCATGGGAGAGGACCCCCCCCTCCGGGGAAACCGGACTCCCTCAGAGCCACTTAGTGCTCAGGGCCCCGAGGACACAAACGTGCCCTCAGATGTCAGCACAGCCCAGGCCGGCCCCAGGGGAGGGGAGGCGGCCTCTCCCGAGCCCCTGAGAGCAGGGCCACGGGGGGGGGGAGATCCAGGCGGAACCCACCACCGGGAAGAAGTTTGGCCTCCTGGCGACATCGCCGTTCCCTTTTCGCCCAGGCTGCTCTGAAGCTTCGGCCTAAACAGGGTTTTCAACTATTTTTTCATCCCAAGCATCTAGCAGCCATGATTTCCCTTCCTGTTCAATTGTCCACCTGCCGCCTTCTGCTTTTCTACTCTCCCTCTCCTTCTATTGTGATGGAATGTCACACGCTAGTTGCTCCAAGTCCCAGAGTGGGAACTATACAGAATTAAGTACATTCACAACTAACGACAACAAAAATACCAGAGGCAGAGAGGATCATCTTCAATACTGCGTTTATTCCAAAGTACAGGAATGTTACACAGTACATAATAGAAGGTATAAAACTTGACTTGAAGAATAAAAGTCTATGAGGGAGGAAATAATCGCTCTTTGGATATGCGTGCGCACCAAGTCAGAGACCCTCGTTGGCGTCACAGAAGCACGGGGGCAGGGCCTCAAAGTCAGCAGGCAAGTTACATTCGTCACAGCACTGGGCGTTGCGGTAGGACCCACCCGTTACGGAGGAGGCTGCCGTGATCTTGTCCCGGGTGACCATGAAGGGATTAGTTTTGAAGGCAAAACAAACAGGTAGCTTTGGAGCTCTTAAGAAAAGACAGACACATACATGGGGTTAGAAATTTCTTCTTAGTCCATTTCTTACAGAGTCAAGGGTGCCTGAGAACTTCAGGGCTGGAGCCAGCCACGCGTGTGACACCGGCCTGAGATGAAAGCTCTCTGCCCCTGTCCCAAGGTCTTACCTCTCCTTTATTTATTCCTCTCCTTAGATTGCTCCAAATGTAAAATCAGATTACAGCAAGTAAGGGAGGGAGAGCGGGTTCCAGCTGTGGGCCACCCAGCTGGTGACTGCGGGCCCGCTCAATGCAGAGCATGATGGGGAAGGGGCCACAGTCAGCTGCTCCCCAGGTTCTGGAAGGTACCTCCTAGCTCACAGGTAACAGGCTGGCCTCCCCTAGAATGGGAACAGCACTTCTTCTGACAACAAATCTCTCCCATATTTGAGGCGTCCTCTCCCCAAAATTCGATTACTTGTCCGGTCTACACCCACTGTCAGGCATCCCCCGGGATCTTCACACAGTCTCACAGGCCCACGTCTCTGTCCCCAAGGCCGTGGGCAGTGACTGAGGGAACAGGGTGAGAGCCCCCGGCTCAGGCCCGGGGAGGCCGGCTCAGCCTGCCCTCTGCGTGAATGGGAGGCAGACACTCTCCGGCCCACAGTCTGCAGAGCCCGGGGCGCAGGGAGGGCCACCTTAGCTGAGTCCCACAGCTGAGGGTGCGCTCCAAGGGGTCAGGTGACAGCAGGGAGCACTGGCACGCAGAGCCACCTGCCGGCCGGGCTGACAACTCTCACCTGGGAGCTCACAAACCCAAGCCAGGAGGGGAAGAAGCCAAGGTCCTGTGCTCACCGGCCTCTGCCTTTCCAGACCTGCCCGCTGCTCCCGACCTCAGCCAGGGTGCGGCCCCAGGGCAAGGAGGGGCCCTGCTCCAGCAGAGAGCCTCAGGGGTCCCATGGGAGGGGTCTCATTCACGCTCACCCACGTCACTCACTTCAATATGTCGATCAGTTTGCATAGAAGACTGGTGACACAGGACATCAGCACAAATATGGCGACCAATAAGGCAACACCAGCGGCAGTCATAATCCTGATGTCGAACATCTTCCCGTGGAGCACCTGGGCAGGGCAGGGAAGTGCAGGCGGGCAGTGACTAGGGCTCCCCTGCCCGCACCACCACGCGGCAACTCCGTGTGCTTCCTCCAGGGGGGAGAGAATGGAACCGCAGACCGCACAGCCCCCTGCGTGTGAACCCCGGAGGGGTCTGCCAGGAAGGGCTCCGAGCCCGAGCTGACCCAGCGGGGGTCAAGGGTTGATCTGTGGATGACAAGCGCCTGAAACGCAAAGTCAGAAGTAACTCCGCAAAGAAACTGGGAGGAGTCTTTTGTCTCTCACAGGCAGTGAAAAACAGGCCGGCACTTGAGCAAACGGCTGTTTCCCCAACTCCCGGGTCTCGTGAAACGTGTTCACTGACAGAGTTGGGATCGGCCCCTGGCTTTTCATTTGAGTTCAAAATACTTTAGGAGCATAACTAAGAAAATAACTTTTTTCCAAAACGGCGTGCTGTACAACACTGAGAATAAGTCAACCCATTTTGTAAGTGACACGTTTTAAGGAAAAAAGGTTTTCATTGTCTCCTGACAGCTGCCATCCACCTCGGGGTTCAAGGACAGCGTCGGAGCCCCTGTCCCTTATTCCGTCTCCAGGCGACCGCGGGCCTTCCTGCCGTTTTTCCTCCTACATCTTCCCAGGCAACCCGGCTTGTTTGGAATACGCCCTTTACTTAATTAACTCTCGATGAGGAGGGCCACGAGCCCCAGAAGAAGAACGAACAATAGGACTACCAAGCATCCTTACTACCGTCAAACCACCCAGACCTGGATGAAGGCCAACTATAAAAATATTTTTTTTAAAACTCTTTAGGGAACAGGATAGTTGATCGAACCTGTCATTTGAGAAAGAGGGATCTCGTCATCCCCGTCGGGAGGAGTCAAGGCCCAAGGCTGAAGAGCTCCCCTCGGAAGGGAGCGCAGCCACCGCCCGGCCCCACCCTGCCCACCCCGGGCTGTGTGACATCAACCCCTCGCCCGGCTCTCTCCCGCAGAGTTCCGAATTCTGTTCCGTCCCGCTCGCTCGGGCGTCAGCCGCCCTGACGCGGGTCCTCTTTGAATCACTTCACTCTAAGTCTTTACCTTTTCCCTGTACGTTTCAAAATTAGACTACTAATCAAAAGCAAGTTTAAGATTACAATTTTAAAATTTTTAAAAAGCCAGAAATGTGGGGAGGCTAAATAGGCTCTTACACTTAAAAAAGCTGCTCACACGCCCCCAACCTGGGACCGGCCTGCAACCCAGGCATGTGCCCTGACTGGGAATCGAACCAGCGACCTTTCATTTTACAGGCTGGCATTTATTCCATCGAGCCACACCAGGCAGGGCCTAAGATGGTTTTTGATAAAAAATAATAAAATTCTTCCATTTGCTACAGTGTAGTTGGACCCAGGGGGTTTATGCTAAGGGAAATAAGTCACAGAAAAACAAATACCATACGATTTTACTTCTATGTGGAATCCAAAAAAACAAAACGAACTCATATATACAGAGAACAAACTGATGGTTGCCAGATGGGACAGGGGTGGATGAAAAAGATGAAAGGGATTAAGAAGGGCAAATTGCCAGTTGTGAAAACAGTCACAGGGATATAAAGTACAGCATAGAGAGTACAGTCAATACATAACTATGTATGATCCAGACGGGTACTGGCCTTACCGGGGCGATCACTTCGTAAGCTTTACAAATTCTAATCACTGCTGTACACCTGAAACTAACATAATATTGCATATCAATCACAACTGAAAAATAAATTTAGAAGAAAAAAAGATGGAAGGCTTTTACAGAAAGGAGGGTGGGACGAGGAAGTCATCAGCAAGAAAAAACCGAAAGTTCATTGGGAGAAAGGGAGAGTTCGGGTGAGCACACCTTCTCATTGGCTGGGCTGCAGTGTTTCCACTGGTTGGGCTTGGTGCTGGGCAAGAGCGAAGTCTCTACTCCTTTCCCCTCCCGGAGTAGTAAAGTGGCTGCACTTCCTGTCTGGAAGTTAAAGGGATGTCTCTTCCCGTCAGGGTGTGTGACTGATGTCTGCCGGTAATAGGAGAGGAGTCGTGGAGCATGACGGCTCCTTCCACAGGCCTTCCCAACTTCAGCTGCTGTGGAAGTTTCCTTTATTAATTTTCACAATCATTAAGACAAAAGGGTTACAAAAATGAAAGTTGCACAGCAGAGGTCCTCAACTCCAGACCACGGACCAGTGCCGGTCTGGGCCCGTTAGGAACCAGGCTGCCCAGCAGGAGGTGAGCTGGACGTAATGCACTTGCATCATCCCAACACCATCCCCAACCCCACCCGTCCATGGAAGAATTGCCTTCCATGACACCAGTCCCTGGTGCCAAAAAGGTTGGTGGCCGCTGTTGTATAGGATACTCATTCTGGTCACGAGTGTTTGATGTAAGATACTCATACCCAGCCAACCTAGTAATCAGATGAAGAGACTCCAGGCACACAAAAGGTGGCTTAGATGCATTTCTCTCTGCTCCTCCCTGAGAAATGTATCTGTGATCCCTGGAAAGAAACAGCAAAGGTCTGCCAAAAGAGAACTCTGAAAGCCAGTAAGAGGGAAGCCAGCTGCTTAGGGCCTTCAGGCCTGGAGGAGCAGCACAGCAGCAGCACGGAAGGAGGTGGCCCAGCTGGGGTGTGTCCCAACTCCGAATCTAGCAACAGAAGGTGGTGGCTCGGGCGGGTGTGTCCCCCTTGGATTTAACGTGGGTCCTGCTGCTGAGCCTGGGCAGGCGCCAGCCACAGTGGCAAGGTGGACAGTGTGGGCGCCCTGCTGACAATGAGTGGCCAGGGGGGAGTGCTGGGCTTGCTCTCTGGTTCCCAGCGTCCTCTCCTCCACGGAGACAGTGCAACAGGCAGCAGGCAGCTCAGAGGGGATCCCACTGTAACAAGCATCTTGGTCCCCACAGGCCAGGCATTCCCTTCTCCCGCCCACATGGTACCAGGTGGCTCCGAACTGGAGAATGCCCCTCTGTCCTTCAGGCAGCTCTGTCGGGGACCTGGGACCCCCGTGGCACCAGAGAAGCTAAGCAGATCTAAGTAACACCGTGAAGCCTCTGAACATGAAATGGTTCTTAGAACCTCATTCCACAAAAGCAGGCCAACACCTGCATGCTAAACCTAAGTAGGTGACTTTGTGATAGAATAAGAGATTTTTTTTTCTTTTTAAATTTTATTTATTTACTTTTAGAGAGGGAAGGGGGGAGAGAGAGAGAGAGAGAAACATCAATGTGCGGTTGCTGGGGGTCATGGCCTGTAACCCAGGCATGTGCCCTGACTGGGAATTGAACCTGAGACACTTTGGTTCACAGCCCGCGCTCAATCCACTGAGCTATGCCAGCCAGGGCCAGAATAAGAGATTTAAATAGGACCTAGAGTCTCCTAGTACAATAGCCAAATTATCCAGGACCCAATGAAAGTCGCCCATCAGACCAAACACCAGGGAAGAGCTGAATGAGAAAAGATGCCAGCGGCAAGATACATTACATGTTGGAAACACCCAGAAAGGATTTAAAGCAGCCATCAAACAATGTCTTCGACAATCAGTATCAAATTTTCTTAAAAACAAAAATACAGAAGCACCAGCAAAAATGGAAGTTATAACAAAAGAATCAAATGGGAATTACAGAAGTAACAAGTACGTTAAGAGAAATTAAACAAAAACAAAAACCCTTCACCAGATGGGCTCAAGAGCAGATGGAGATGACAGGACTGAACCGATGAACTTGAGGGCAGAATAAAAGAATTGCCCTGGCTGGCGTAGCTCAGTGGATTGAGCGCAGGCTGCGAACCAAAGTGTCACAGGTTCGATTCCCAGTCAGGGCACATGCCTGGGTTGCAGGCCATGACCCCCAGCAACCGCACATTGATGTTTCTCTCTCTCTCTCTTTCTCCCTCCCTTCCCTCTCTAAAAATAAATAAATAAAATCTTAAAAAAAAAGAACACTACAAACTGATCAAAGGACTTGAAAGACAATATAACTAAATAAAAAGATGAAAGACTCCCACAAAGTAAAAAAAAAAAAGAATAAAAGAATTTACCCAACTGGACCAAAACCGAAAGCTTCAGGGAGCTGTGGAACTACAATAAAAGCTCAGTCTTAGAAGAAGAGGAGAAAGAAAATGGGGCTGAGAGAGTTTTTGAAGAAATAGTAGATAAAAACAAAAAATAAAAATAAAAATATCTAAAACTTACCGGACATGATAAAGACACAAACTGACATTCAAAAAACTGAGAAAGCCCCAAGCAGTGCCAAACCAAGAAAGTCCAAGGCAAGACACATCCTAATCATCAAACTTCTGAGAACTAAAGACACAGAAACTTGAAAGAGGCCACAAAGAAACAGCGCGTTACCTGTAAGGGAAAACCAATTCAAATGACAGTGGATTTCTCATCTACAATCAGGGTGGCAACAAGGAGGTAGCACACGCCATTTTTCAAGTGTCAAATGAAAAGATGTGTCAACTTCTAATTATACATGCGGCCGTAACCCCCAGAGTTTCCTGTTCATGCATCGGAGGTAGGGCCTGAGAACTGGCATTCCACGCAAGTTCCCAGGCGACGCCGGTGCTGCTGGTCCCTGAAGCAGGCCCCAGAGCCACAGCCCCCTGCAGTCACGCACCACATAACGACATCATTTGGTCAGTGACAGCCCGCGTGTGTGACAGAGGTCTGTAAGATGATAATGGAGCAAAAAAGTCCTCTCACCTAGTGACTTCACGTCACAATGTTTGATTTATTTACGTTTGTGGTGACGTTGGTGTAAGCAAACTGCTTTGCCAGTTGTATACAAGTGTAGCACATATAATTCTGTACAATACACACTTGATTATGATCATCAGTGACTGTTACCGGTTCCTGTATTGACTATACTATGCTTTTGATCATTATTTTAGGGCACGGATGGCAAACACAAGACCCGCGGGCTGAGTCCAGCCTGGCACCTTGTTTCTACCCAGGGGCAGCTCCAAGCTCCTCGCCCCTGGTTAAGGAGTAGTTGCATTTACACAGTCCTAAAGTTACATTCGGCCCTTTGAAGGCAACCGTGAGGCTGATGTGGCCCCTGGTGACAATGAGTGTGACACCCCTGTTCTCGAGTGCACCCTGCCCACTTACAAAGGAGGCGGGCTGCAGAACAGTCCGCCGTGTTACGCTGGCAGCAGCCTCATGTGTCTCGTGTTCACTGCACCGGCTGATTGTATGTTACTGTGTGCTTGATTTGAGCTCGTGCTGTCTGCACAGGAACACGCTGTACAGGCTTGTGGCCCAGCAGCGGCGAGGCGGACCACGCAGTCCATGCGTGTTTGGGGCGGACCTGACGGATTTACCCTCCTGTGTGTCGAATGGCTTTTCTGGGTCACCTGCCCAGGAGCCCCTGCGCCCGACACTGACGCCGTGCAGTCGCCCCGGCCCTCCAGCCACCCAGGCCCTGCCCCTCACCCACGCCGGCCCTGGCTCCCCGCACTGACCGCTCACCACCTCCGCTCCGGGATCCCGGGCCCAGTCCCTCTCCCCTCACTGCCCTGGCCTCCCCTCACAACGCCCCCAGGAGCGTGGCTGTCACCGAGCAGCCAGCCCGTCCCCGCCGGCCAGGCGCACCCTGGGGCAGGCGGCGCCAGCAGCTCCTCCCACTCGAAGTCCCGGGCGCGGACACCAGCTCCGGTGACAAGGAGGCTCTGGTCCAGGGCCCCGCCTGTGGCATCCCAGGAAGAGGCCAGCGAAGGGCGACGGGTCCACAGCCCGCCCTCGGTCTCGGTCGCCATTCGGCCACCTCCAGGCCAGGACAGCCCCGGAACCTGTCTCCCGGAGCTTGAGCCTCCGCCGGGGCGGAGGGGAGGTGAGAAAGCCGAGCAGCTCGTCAGGCTTTAAACCGAGCAGGCGCAGCCTCCCGCTTCTGCGGTAAGTGAGGCGAATGCGGCAAACACGCATGCGCGTGAGCCTTCCAGACTTGCCGGGAGACCCCACGGGGTGGGGGGGGGGGAGCCTGCGCACTGACGGCGCCAGGGTCCCTCCGCGAGAGCTGCGCTCGGACGCGGTGCGGTGGGCGCGGTGCGCTGGGCGCGGGACCCGGTCGGCCTTTCTGCGTTGCCCCCGGGAGAAAAGACGGGTGATGGACCACGGTTGCCGGGCGGCCCGGGAGGGCTGATCGAAGGAGGAGAGTGTGTGGTCAGGCGGCTCCACACCACCTGAAGGACTTGGCACACCTCCCCCCGAGTGGGCGGCCGGGCATCCCGGCTATTGCAGCGGAGCGCGCGGCGGCCCGGGGCGCGGGCGTGGAGCTGGCGTTTTCTCTTTTTTTTTTCTCGTTTACTCTCCCTCCTCTGCCCACACGCGCTCTCCCCCCAGACGGTGGTGAGGTGGAAGGCGGCGGTGCGGGGTGAGCGGGCGGAGGCTTGACCGGATCCCGGGGCGGCACTGGGGTGGTGGTGTCCGAGGAAGCTTTGGGGTGCGCCGGGGGGGGGGGGCGGGGGGGCGGGAGACGTCTCCGTGATAGCGACGGGCTGGGGCAGTGGCGCCGGGGCCTGGAGACCCGAGCGCTCAGGCTGCAGGAACGCGGAGGGGAGGCCTGGGGCCAAAGTGGGGGCCCAGGGCGGGACCTGCACCGCTGGCCTCAGCAGAGACTGCCCGGGTTTCTGGTGGGTAAAATCTGAGCTGGTGAGGCAGGAGACAGTGTAGGAAGAAGTGTGAGACTGTGCTGCTGTTACTGGCAGGCGGCTAGCATCCCAGGTGTGGTCCTGGTTGGCAGGAAACACCTTTTATCACTTAGGCTGAATGAATAGTAAATCTAGGCAGGGAGGACGAGGGAGACACCATCTCACCCATGACTCATCAGTCCTGAGCCTGGTCTCTTAGTAATGCCGGGTGTTCCAACATCATGAGAAACTGCCTTGGCAAGGAAGGAAGGACGTCCTTGAAATTCTGAGTAGCGTGTCCACCGTCTGAGAAAGAAGGCCTTGAAACTGCTTTCATCCCAGGGCCTGGCATGCCAGAGAGGGTCCACAGGGCCCAAAACAGCCCGTAAGTAACTTTGGGTGACCGCCCCACCTTTCATTAACCGCCCCCTGTCACCTATCTGGTTTACAACAGGATGAACAAATGGCGTCTGGAGCAAGATAAGGATTCGAACTAGCAGACGCCCACACTTACCTCAGTTTAGGTAGGCATGTTGCCCCCCTCCCCCCGCCCCAGGAAAGCTGGCACCACCTTTACCTGTCAGTCAGGGTGTAACTTGTTCACCCCATCCCGCCACCTAGGGGAGTCCTCAGAGCAAAGGACTCGCTGTCTGGGCGCTCTTGGCTCCCTGACCACCCTGGGGCCCGCCCCCTGGGCCTTCAGCTGCCTGTGCTTTTGCCGCCCTGCTTTGCCCTGAACCTCTGCCTTTCACCCCCTCTACACCCCGCCCTAGCTAGGCCCAGTCTCTTCCATGGGAAAGGGTCACTAATAAACCCTGAATGCACGCTAATAGAGTTGCTGATCTGTAATCCTTTAGATGCATCAGTAAGAAGAACCAGGTTGTCTCCTGCCAACAGAATTGGTGCCGAAACCCTGGACCCAGGCTTGGATCCCACCCTTTGTCTCCAGCCTTCTGGAACGCAGTGAGTATGGTCTCCCCAGCAAGGCTGTCCTGCCTTTCTCCCCTTCGGGATAAAGGAGAAGTTGTGCTGTGCAGTGGGGCACATACACGTGCTCGGCCTCCGTTTGGAGGCAGAGACAGGGAAACCCGAAGTGAGTGTGGGGTTCTGCCTGGGCTCCAAAGACTAAAGAGGCACGTCCTCCTTCTGGCCTGATGGGCCAGAGTTTGCAGGCATCCCTACGTTGAGTGGGGATGCAGAGGTGTCTGGAGTCAATCCCTAAGATGTGTGAGATCCTCATAAGGAACTCCCATCACTGTAATGTAACTTTGCCTTTTCCAGGGACGTGCAAAAGAAGGGCTGGTCCGCCAGCACTCAGAGCCCCGCTGGCTGTTTTAGACGGCGGAGAAACCGAGACACCTAAGAGAGTTAGGGATGACTAAAGGGGTAAGGGCCTCTGGGAGCCCTGCTCATAAACAGCACACTTTGACCCACTGCTTGGATTCCTTAGCCTTTTCTGCCTCCATACCTGGCCAGGAGAAAAGTCAGTCTAAATCATGGCCTGTTATAAGCTTGCAGCATCTCCCTCTCTCTCTCTCTCTCCCTCCCTCCCTCCCTCCCTCTCCCTCTCCTTCTCCCTCCCCCCCCCCCCCCCCCCCCCGACCCAGGTGGCTTCTAGCACATCAATTTACATCCAAATACTCCTTGCAGGAACTGTAGGAAAGGGCAATGTTATGGAAATGTCTTGCTTTCTTCCTCTCAAGAAATTGCCCTACCCCACTGGCACAGGTCGAGCATTTAAGAGCATTTAAAAGTGGAGAGGGAGTTCGCTGCAACAAAGCTACCTAAAAGTGAGAGGATAAGCTGGGACATGGACCAGGACAGAACACTAGGTTTCCTACCAGCCGCAAGCAGAAGTCCATGCAACAGCAGGCACACTGTAAAAGCATTCCCAGTCCCATCCCTGTGGCACATGCGCCACTTAGGTTTAGTCCTCCAGAGGAGAAAGCAAGATTAAGTCCTGGCTTTTCCAGGTGCTGTTCTCCTAATTAGGCCTTTTGGATCAAATTTGCCTCATTCATAAGTCTTTTTCCCCCTGTCTCTGACTGCTCTATTTACATCTCTACCAGTCCCATGTCTATCTGCTTTACAAAGTAACTGCTGCATTTGTTTTCCGGTGGAGCAGCCAGCAAATCCCCTAAAACCATGCCTTTGATTGCTGTTGTCCAGCAGGAGGTGACCTATACTTGACCTGCCTAACCCAAGCCTTGCATTCAACTTCACTTTCACATTGGGCTTGGCCCCATCATGCCCACGTTAAAGAGGGACAGGGTACAAAGACAGAAAATCTCATCCCCTTCTAGCCTGTAGTACTCAGAGAAAATACAGAGACAAGTCTTGGAAGCACCGTAACTTCTAGACCCAGGAGCTATTAGGTCCTGGAAACAATAGGGTAATTAGCTCTCGACTCAAAAGAACATCAGGGTGCCTGCCTCTCCAAGGCTGTGGGGAGAATGACCTTTTAAACTCCGGCATTTTTGAGCTGCACCCCAGGCCTGAGCCTGACATCTCTGCCCTTTTTGCCAGCCTCTGCCCTGAGCAGAGCAGGGAGCGGGCACTCGAAGGGCAGTCCTGCCAGTTGCACCCTGGGGTTTCAGGATGCTGCGAAACCGCAGCTTATAAACCGCAGCTTACAAACCACAGCTTACGCTGTTTTCCCCTCTTCTAGATGGGGCTGTTTTTCAGCCAAGCTGCTGCCTGAGGGCTGAGCCTGTGATCTCATTCTATTTCCCAGCTAACTTACCCCCAATCTGCCTGGTATTTTTACAGAGATAGACTTGCCCTTCCTCCTGAGGCACCTTCTGTGTTTTAATTCAATAGGGCCCCTGAGACCAAAGGGACCCAGGGCCACATAGGTGGCAAATATTTTGCCACAGTAGGGGCCTCTCTCACTGGGTTGCACAGGATTGTGTTGGCATCCAGTGCTTGCAGTCAATATACCAAATGACTAGTGCCACTCTCTTTCTCTGACTCCTCACTGGTGAGGAGCCAAACTTATAAAAGCCTTGAGATCTGCAGAAAGGGTCCAGTTCAATCAAAGCTGCTGACTCCATCAGTAGCGAAGGGGATACGAGTCGTCCGTGACAAGCTTAGTTCTTGGTCTTTTGCTGGCCAGGGCATTCATCGTGCTTTGTGTCGCCGGAAACATCTGGGAGCTTGCGGTGGGAAAACGGGACACCCTACAGCCACTAATTGGCCCCTGGAGCAAAGAGGGAGGCCGTCTTTCCAAGCCCAGGAGTTCTCTAGTCTTAGTCTTTTGCTGGCCAGCATATCATGCTTCACCTGGGTGCGCCACGGGCCGAATGGGAAATACACCCTCTATTCCTCCAGGATCCCCACTGGGGTGCACCCTGAGAAATGGGGATAAGTTTGGCCCTGAGTGTCTCAAGAAGAAGGAGATTGATTTTCTTGTGTAACACAGCTTGGCCTCAGTACAAGTTGGGAGAAAGGAAGACACGGCCTGAAAATGAGAGTAGCACTTACAGGAGGCTCAAATCAAGCCCCAGGCTGCAGGGGAGCTCAGACTCAGGCTCTCAGAGGTGCCCAGACCCCCCCAAAGGCTGCACAGTAGATACGTCTGTTTGCCAGCATGAGGACAGGACTGGTGTGCCCCTTGGGCTGCTGTCTGCACGGGGCTAGGTCCTCTTGCGGTGTTTGTGCAAATAAACCTGAGGCAGGGTCTGTCCAAAAAAACCCCAAAAAACTGAAACACTAATATGGACCCATCTCTGGAGGAGCACGTGTTGAGAGGGCAACGCTTTATCACCCAGGCAGCCCCTGGTACCTGTAAGAAGCTTCAGAAATTACAAATGGGGCCCCAGACCCCTTTGGCACAACTGCTGGATGCTGCCTTCTCAGTCTTTATCAGTTGAGACTTAGAGGAGAGACAGGCCAAGCTGCTTGCACCAACTATTAGTGGCAACATTGGCCGTGGCCAGCCACCTCAAGGTGACCTGGGGAAGTCACGAAGGCATGGAGGGCACAAGGGTCAAATGTGCTTTAGGTGCAAACTCCCTGGACACTGAGCAAGAGAATGTACTAGGCCACCCCCGGGGCCATGTCCCAAGTGCTGAGGAACAAACCCTGATCCCTGGCACTGGAAGGTAGACTGCCCCCGTCCCCAGAGTGGAACGGGGTCATCTTCTGTGGCCATGGCAGCACTTGAGGACTGAGGGTGTCCAGGGAGCAGGCTGACCCTAGCCTACACCAGCACCCTAATCTTTACCAAAGACCCCCAGGTGACTCTTGATGTGGCAGGTGAGAAAATTAATGTTCTTGTCGATACTGAGGCCACTTACTCTGTCCTCAGTTCATACGCTGGTCCTCTCTCCTCTAGCTCAAGCAGTAGTGTGGGGGTTGGAGGGAAATCCAGGACTCATTTTTACATAGCCCCTGCCACTTGCCAGTTTGAAAGCCACATTTTTAACCATTCTTTCTTAATGATTCCAAAAAGCACCATACCATTGCTAGGATGGGACCTCTTGGCCAGATTTGGAGCTGTTCTGAAGTTTCAGGAGGTCCCAGATAATTACGTTAGCCTGTGAAGACAAGGTGGAAAATGACATCCCAGAGCAGATTTTGTAAGGGGTAGATCCCCTAGTTTGGGACTTCAGTTCCTAGAAGGGGCAGCATGGCCCAGCCAGTCCAAACCTGCCTAAAGCCTAGGGTAGTTTATCGCCACAAGAAACAGTATTCCATCAAGCAGGAGGCCCTGGAGGGTCTGCAGCCCATCATAGAGCAGTTTACTACACACGGGTATCTGGTGCCCTGCTAGTCCCCCTGCAACACCCCAGTACCCCCCATTCATAAGCCCACAGGGGAGTACCGGTTAGTCCAGGACCTAAGATTAATGAGGCTGTCGTCTCCTTACATCCCCTTGTGGCCAACACTTACACTCTCCTCACCCAGGTACCAGACTATACTCAGTGGTATACTGTCTTAGACTTAAAAGATGCCTTCTTTTGCATCCCGTCCACCCAGATTCCCAGTACCTGTTTGCATGTGAGTGGGCAGACCCCAAAACAGTGGCCCATCAACAGTATGCCTGGATGGTGCTACCGCAAGGGTTTAGAGACGGCCCCCATCTATTCGCCAGAGTGTTAGAGAAGGATCTAAGAGATTTGCAGCTGCAAGAAGGAGCAGTCTTACCTGTAGATGGCATCTTAGTCTGTGGCCCCTCGAAGGAAGCCTCAGGTCACAACACTATCCCAACTCTGAACTTCCTTGGGGGCCGGGGATATCGAGTCTCTCAGAAAAAGGCCCAAATCTCCAAGCAGAGTAAACTACTTAGGATACATCCTAACTCTAGGATCTAGGCAGCTGTCACCAGAGAGAATAGAGGCAACCGCCGAGCTAACACCAGCTGCTACCAAAGAGCAGCTCCGCTCTTTCCTGGGAATGGCTGGGCTCTGCAGCATTTGGGTCCCAAGCTTTGGACTAATTACAAAGCCTTTATATGAGGCTACTAAGGGGCCAGACATTGAACCCATTATATGGGGAAAGGAACATGATCAGGCTTTTAATAAACTCAAGCGGGCTCTAGTCGAGGCCCCAGCCCCAGGCATCCCTGACGTAAACAAACCTCTCTCTATATGTAGCAGAGATGCGGGGAATAGCATTGGGAGTCTTAGTCCAGCAACTAGGAAATGAACCCTGACCTGTCGCATATTTCTCTAGAAAGCTGGACAGTGTAGAAACACGGTGGTCCTCCATGACTCACAGCAGGAGCAGCCGCAGCCACATTAACTGAGGAGGCTGCAAAACTGACACTTGGACAAAAGTTAAGAGGTTCTAACTCCACGTCAAGTCCAAGGTATATTAGAAATGAAACAGCATCTCTGGTTAAGTGGAAATACATTAGCCAGATACCAGTCCCTTCTAGGCAGTCCTGAAGTAACCATAAAAACTTGCAATAGCTTAAATCCAGCCTCCTTAATGCCTATAGGATCATCTCCTGATTTAGCTCATTCCTGCTCAGAGATTGTTAATCTAACCTATTCCGGCAGGGCTGATTAGTTGGACCGGCCCTTAGATGACCCTGATGGAGAGTGGTTCGCTGATGGGAGCAGTTTTGTACCGAGTGGGCGGTGAAAGGCAGGGTACGCGATGGCTAGTTTATATGACACTTTATATGACACTAGAGGTTGTGCAAGAGGCACAACCTCTTCTACCCTCAACCTTGGCCCAAAAGGCAGAGATTATAGCTCTTGCCTGAGCTCTCATTCTAGGACAAGGAACAAGGATTAATATTTATGCAGATTCCAAATACGCCTGTCTCGTTCTGCACTCTCATGCTGCCATCTGGAAAGAAAAGCGACTCCTCACTGCAAGGAATTTCCCCATTAAACAGAGACAGGAAATTTTAAATCTGCCGGAAGCAGTTAGCCTCCCTAAACAGGTAGCAGTAATGCATTGCAGGGGTCAGCAGAAGGATATGTCCCCTGTTACCAAGGAGAACACGAAGGCAGACCAAGCAGCTAGAAAGGCAGCTCAGAGACCAGTTGCAGAATTGGCACTATTCCCATCCGTAGACTATGCCAGCCTGAAGCCTGATTACATGTCTGAGGAGAACTCTTGCGCTGTAGAGCAGGGGGGCTTCCCCAAAGGGCCTGGATTTACACTGGCCACAAACTTCTTCCCCGGGCCTCCCAGTGGAAGGTTGTAAAGGCCTCGCGTGACTCCTTCCACAGAGGAAGAGATGCTGCTACGGCATTAGTTAATAAATCATTTACAGGCAAAGGACTAATGACTACTATAAAGAATACTTAGCCCTGGCTGGCGTAGCTCAGTGGATTGAGCGCGGGCTGGGAACCAAAGTGTCCCAGGTTCGATTCCCAGCCAGGGTACATGCCTGGGTTGCAGGCCATGACCCCCAGCAACCGCACATTGATGTTTCTCTCTCTCTCTCTCTATCTCCCTCTCCTCCCTCTCTAAAAAGAAAATAAGTAAAATTAAAAAAAAAAAAAAGAATACTTGCCAGGCCCGCCCTCTGCACACACAGCAACCCTGGGCAAAAGCCACCCCTCCCCCCACTGCTGGAGCCTGTTCCGTGGGAGGGGACCTGTCCAGGAGAAGACTGGCAGATGGGTCTTACCAAGATGCTCCCCTATAAAGGATGCAAGTGTCTGCTGGTTTTAATAGGCACTTTCACTGGGTGCACTGAAGCCTTTCCGACCCAGACAGAGAAGGCCACAGAGGTAGCAAAGGCACCCCTTAAAGAAATAATACCCCGGTTTGGTCTCCCATGCTCCCTGCAGAGTGATAATGGGCCTTCCTTCACCTCTAAGATGACGCAGTCAGTCCCTGAGGCCATAGGCATAAAGTATCACCTCCAGTCTGCTCGGAGACCCCCAGTCCTCTGGGAAGGTGGAGCGGGTGAAGCAAACTTCAAAAAGAACAATAGCAAAGCTCTCTCAAGACACTTCTGAGAACTGCTTAAGTTACTGCTGATAGTCCTCATGAAAATCAGGGGCTCCCCTGAGGCTGGTACTAGGCTCGGCCACTTTGAAATGCTATGCGGCAGGCCATTCGTGACCCTGGATTTAATATTGGAGGCCGAGCCCCGTCGAGCCGTGAAGCATGCAATAAACATGGGGCAGGTACGGAAAGCGCTGCAGGGACGTGGGAATGAAGTCTGGCCTTCTCCCAGACGAGAACTCCTGGCCACCATCTCTCCGGGAGATTGGGTACTTGTCAAAACTCGGAGAGAAGAATCCTCTGCAGATGGACTTGACCCCAAATGGGAGGGACCCTACCAGGTAGTTCTGAGTACCCCCGTGGCTGCGAAGCTGCTGGGGGTCTACAGTTGGGTTCATATTTCCAGGGTAAAGCCGGCTCCTGTTGATCCACATCTCTCCCCAGACAGCGGCGGGATCCAGACCCCGCACACACCTGTGAGCCGGTGCGGGACCTGCAGCTCCTGTTCAGAAAGAAGACGGCGGGGACAGCAGGATGGTGCCACACGTCCCTGTGCGCTGGTGGAGGACCTCAGGTTCCTTTGCTACACGGCTGCTCCTGAGTCTGATAAGTAGCTTTCTGTTTTACCCCTTAACCCCTTTCGCTTATGCTAAACCTCCACCTAAAACTGCCTATGAATTAGACAATCATACTCCCCAATCTTTCAAGTCTCCCTATCCACCTTCTCTTTCCAACCGTACTTCGGGCTATGTTCAGCCACTGGCACTAGAACAGTGGGGAAACATCTCTGCAACCCTGGACGAAAACATTGTACATTTCGGCCCATGGGGCAGCGTAGCCGCTCACAACCTTGATAACCAATTGCCCAGGACTTTCTCCACTAGCAGTCAACGCTCCCCTAGAGGGCCTGTGTTTTCTCACTTAATACACCCTCTGCAGGTCAGGTACCCCCTCTGCATTGTCAGTAATGCTCCAGGAGGCACGCCCGTGGGAAGGCTTGCTGACAGCCAGTGCCGCCAACATCTTCTGATCCCAGATCCCCCGCTCACAAACACTAGTCATGGAATTTTCCTCACCATCATACCCCATATGTCTGGGGGGATTCCTAACCCAGGGGACGAGACAAATTTCATCCACACCCGCTTTCCAGAGCCAGCTGTTCCTAGCCCACCTTTGTACAAAAACTCACCAAAAACAGCGTACTGCCAAGGCAGGCCATCCTATTCAGTGAATCGTTTCCTCCCACACGAAGGAGAGCACTGTGTCACCCTGTACCGCAGCTCTCGGGTCGCTGTACATTTTGGACCGAAGAGGGGCTCTATCTTTACTGAAGTCATAAATAGCCCACGTTTCCACAATCCTGTCATAGACCCCCTGGTTGCAGCCTCGCTGGCGGCGCAAGGACTGCAGTGGTGGGGCACCAAGTACCCAAGGACCAGGCAACTCGTCAAAGGCAGATACGTCTCTGTAGAAACCCCGCCGGTTAAGCTGGCAGAAATGGAACTGGCAGCAGAAATACCCCCTTTAACAGGAGTCTTTTGGGTCTGCGGGTCCCAGGCGTACTTGACCCTCCCTCCACGGTGGAGAGGAGTCTGCTCCCTGGCGTATGTTTCCACAAAGTGAGAAAAGACCTCCGTCCCATTCCCATGGTGAGGACAAGGACACCTTTCCAAGAGGTCTGGTCTCCTTATTCCTCTAATACCATTTACAGGGGTTCTCCCTGCCACAGGAGCTGTGGTAGGTGGAGCCTCCTTAGGAACCCACCACCGCCTATCACAGGAGACAGCTGAGTCATTGGCTGAAACAGGGGAAACGCTGGCAGCACTCCAAGGGACACTGGACTCATTCGCTGGAATTGTCCCCCGCAATCGAAGGGCATTAGACCTCCTCACAGCCTCAATGGGAGGGACATGTCTACCTCAAGGAGCAGTGTTGCTTCTGCGTCAACAAGTCAGGGCAGGTCCAACAAAACACCCGAGGCATCCCCGAGTCTGCGTCGGGATCAAAAGTTCAACCTCTCTGTGGGATTCCAATTCACGGCTCGTGTCTCTACTTCTTCCCTTGGCAGCACCATTATTAATTATACCAGTGATACTATTATTTGGGCCCATGATAATCAACTTACTAACTAAATTTATCTCTTCTTGAACAGAGGCTATAAAGCTGCAAATGATTGTCACGAACAACTATTGACCTGAGGAACCAGAGGTTCCGGGCATCCATCGTGGGCCGATGGAGAGACACTGTCCTCCCCCTCCTCTGGCCAGTGCCCAGCATCCCTGACAGTCCCAGAGATTCGTCACCAGCTCCCAGATAGATAGGGTGAGAGTCTCATGGTTCTCGATAGGCAGGGTCTGCTGTCCCATCCAAGCCTGAAGTAGCTACAGAAGACTGACCTTCACCCCTCAACAGCCCAAAAAAGAATTTTTGAGAACCATGTCTCTCAGGAAAAAGGAGGCAGGAGACAGCATAGGAAAAACTGTGGGACTGCACTGCTGTTACTGGCCGGGGGCCAGCGTCCTGGTTGCCAGGAAACACCTTTTATCACTTAGGCTGAATGAATACTAAATCTAGGCAGGGAGGAGGAGCGAGACACTGTCTCACCCATGACTCATCAGTCCTGAGCCTGGTCCCTTAGTAACGCCGGGTGTTCCAACATCATGAGAAACTGCCTTGGCAAGGAAGGAGGGACGTCCTTGAAATTCTGAGTAGCGTGTCCACCGTCTGAGAAAGAAGGCCTTGAAACTGCTTTCATCCCAGGGCCTGGCATGCCAGAGAGGGTCCACAGGGCCCGTAAATAACTTTGGGTGACCGCCCCACCTTTCATTAAACGCCCCCTGTCACCTATCTGGTTTACAACAGGATGAACAAATGGCGTCTGGAGCAAGATAAGGATTCGAACTAGCAGACGCCCACACTTACCTCAGTTTAGGTAGGCATGTTGCCCCCCTCCCCCCGCCCCAGGAAAGCTGGCACCACCTTTACCTGTCAGTCAGGGTGTAACTTGTTCACCCCATCCCACCACCTGGGGGAGTCCTCAGAGCAAAGGACTCGCTGTCTGGGCGCGCTTGGCTCCCTGACCACCCTGGGGCCCGCCCCCTGGGCCTTCAGCTGCCCGTGCTTTTGCCGCCCTGCTTTGCCCTGGACCTCTGCCGTTCACCCCCTCTACACCCCGCCCTAGCTAGGCCCAGCCATTTCCATGGGAAGGGATCACTAGTAAGCTAATAGAGTTGCTGATCTGTAATTCTTTTTTTTTTTAGACTTTATTTATTTATTTTTAGAGAGGGAAGGGAGGAAGAGAAAGAAACATCGATGTGCGGTTGCTGGGGGCCGTGGCCTGCAACCCAGGCATGTGCCCTGGCTGGGAATCAAACCTGCAACACTTTGGTTCACAGCCCATCCTTAATCCACTGAGCTGCGCCCGCCAGGGCAGATCTGTAATTCTTTACATGCGTCACTAAGAAGAACCAGGTGTCTCCCATCGACTCTGGGACGGGTAATGGTTGGAAAAGTGAAAGCAGGTGGGACTTCCCAGCTGCCCTGCAGTCACGTACAAAAGTGAATGCCTCACCACCTCCAGCCCTCCTCTTCCTGGAGAGGTTTGTGCAGATGAGTTTTTCATCTTTTAAAAGAAAGAACAAAGAGTATAGAAAAGTGGAATGTCAGAGTTCAACAGTCCTTAAATGTGAAGGTCCTTTTAGCTAAGTTTTTAAAACAAAGTACTCCACTCCTTGGAGGTTGTCTACCTCAGTAGTTCTGCCCAATATGTCCTGCTTCCTGGGGTTATAAATTACCTTGTATTTGTATTCACATATTTGGGCCATGCAAAGGAAAATGGGCTCTTCAGAAATACCAATGCGCAGTTTGCGGAGCGAGATCGGTACTATCAGTTGGATTTTGACTATTTAAATATGAGGCTGAATAACCAGGAGTCAGAAATCTAAAGATCTCTGTGCTTTCCTCTTCCCTTTCATTTCCCCTGCAGCCAATAAGCCAAGTCTTCAGGTCGGTAGGAACCCCACAGCCACGCCTTGTTGCTAACAGTGTGTGTTCCATAATAGATTCAAACAGTTTCGTTTCAGAACCCCTTTACACTCCCTGCCTTTTTTTAGACAGAGTTTTTTCTAATTGACTTTAGAGGGAGAGAGAAGCCCTGACTTGTTCCACTGATTTACGCATTTATTGGTCAATTCTTGTACGTGCCCCGACCCGGGATTGACCCTGCAACTTTGGTGCATTGGTACAATGCTGTAACCAACTGAGCTACCTGGTCAGGGCCTTGCCACCCCTATAGCATTAAAAACTGCAAACCGCTTTTGTGTATCTATACGTTTTATCTTCCTAATTTAAAAAGCCACCTTCTGCTGCTCGGATCTACAGTAATGCACACTACCTTGAATCAATAAAGAGTAGATTGAAGAGGTCACCAGCATGAATGACACAGTATCTCTGGAAAAACCCCCTCCAGCTTCAGAACACCAGGCTTAAAATGAACTTGCATAATGGACCCATTGCATGGAATCGTTTTATTCTGCATCCCTGGGGTCTTTGCAGTAACTTAAAATTGCTTGCCCCTAGGGTCTGCACGAGCCAGCTCTTACTTTGGTAAGTCAGTAATGAAGGCAAGTGGCATTCAAGCCACATCAGCTATAGGATGTGTTCTTTTTTGTTCTATTTTTTTGTGACTCTTTGCACATTCTGGAGAACTAACCCATCAAGTTCACCATAATATGCCCATAGTGTATTTTGAGTGGTGCGTGTTTCCTGCAAAAAGCACCTATATTTATGCAAAATGATAGAACTTTGAGGTGTGTTTATTAATGTCCCTCCAGGGATAGGTTGTACTATGGGATTGCAGGTTAAGGGAAAGCTTTAAAATCCCTTTCTACCAATTTTACTTTTAATAGCTCTTTACATAGAACATAATATGAACAACTAATGTAAGTCTTAATATTAAGTTTTAATTTTTAATATATTTTATTGATTACACTATTATAGTTGTCCCATTTTTCCCCCTTTATCCCCCTCCATCCTGCACCCCTCCCTCTACCCCCCTCAGTTCATGTCCATGGATCGTACATGTAAGTTCTTTGGTTTCTACATTTCTAACACTACTCTTAACCTCCCGCTGTCAATTTTGTACTGCATTTATGCTTCCTATTCCCTGTACCTTTTCCCCTAATCCCCCCCACCCACTCCCCGCTGATAACCCTCCAGGTGATCTCCGTTTCTGTGATTCTGTTCCAGTTGTTTGGTTAGTTTGTTTTTGTTTTTATGTTAAGTTATTGATAATTGTGAGTTGTCATTTTACTGTTCATAGTTTTTCATCTTTTTTTCCTTATAGATAAGTCCTTTTAATATTTCATATAAAAAGGGCTTGGTGATGATGAAGTTCTTTAATTTTACCTTAGTTAAGAAGCACTTTATCTGCCCTTCCATTCTAAATGATAGCTTTTCTGGATAGAGTAAGCTTGGATGTCAGTCCTTGCTTTTCATGACCTCAAATACTTCTTTCCAGCCCCTTCTTGCCTGTAAGGTTTCTTTGGAGAAATCAGCTGACAATCTTATGGAAACTCCTTTATAGGTAACTGTCTCCTTTTCTCTTGCTGCGTTTAAGATTCTCTCCTTATCTTTAATCTTGGGTAATGTGATTATGATGTGCCTTGGTGTGTGCTTCCTTGGGTCCAACTTCTTTGGGGTTCTCTGAGCTTCCTGGACTTCCTGGAAGTCTATTTCCTTTGCCAGATTGGGGATGTTCTCCTCCATTATGTTTTCAAATAAGTTTTCAATTTCTTGCTCTTCCTCTTCTCCTTCTGGCACCCCTACGATTCAGATGTTGGAGCATTTAAAGTTGTCCCAGAGGTTCCTAAGCCTCTCCTCATTTTTAAAAATTCTTGTTTCTTCCTTCTGTTCTGGTTGAATGTTTAATAGTTCCTTCTGTTCCATATTGTTGATTTGAATCCCAGTTTCCCTCCCTTCACTGTTGGTTCCCTGTACATTTCTCTCCATTTCACTTTGCATAGCCTTTACTTTTTCCTCTATTTTGCAACCATACTCAACCATTTCTGTCAGCAATCTGGTTACCAGTGTTTTAAACTCTGTGTCTGATAGATTGGCTATCTCTTCATTGCTTAGATCTATTTTTGGAGCTTTGATCTATTCTTTTATTAAGGCCATATTTTTTTTTATCTCAGCACAGGTGCTACAAGGGGTGGAGCCTTAAGTATTCACAAGGGAGGGGCAACCCACATGGCTGCATTGTGGTGCTGTATGCGGGGGAGAGGTCCAGGAGGAAACAATGCTACTTGCTTGGCTCTCTGCGTGCTTCTAGTCACTTGCTCCGCTCCCCACAAGCAAATTGGGCCCTTCTGGTGCTGATTCCTGGGTGGGTGGATTTGTGTACATTCTAGGACCCTGTGGGTCTCTCCAACAAACTCTCCTATGAGACTGGTGCTTTCTCCTGGTGCTGCAACGCCCACAGGTTTTTATAGTTAGAGGTTTTGAGGCTTTATTTCCCAGTGCTGGAACCCTGGGTTGTGTGGTCTATCTTGCTCCCCAGTAGTTCCTCCTGGTTTATCTGCACACAAATGTGGGACCACCTGCTCCTCCAGTTGCTGCCTCATCTTCCAGAGTCCACCAGTGGCCGCCTTGCCTGGAATCCTGTGTGCTCCGGCTGCTTGTCTGCACCCAGCCTACCAGTCTGGATGAATATTTCTTCTTTAACTCCTTGGTCGTCGGACTTCCATACAGTTTGATTTCCCGGTAGCTCTGGTGGTTTTTTGTTTTTAAATTTGCTGTTGACCTTATTTTGGTTGTGTGAAGTGGCAAAGTGTATCTACCTACGCCTCCATCTTGGCCAGGAGTCAAAATTTTAATTTATTTATATGTGCTGTGGATGTTTTGTGTTTTTTTTTCACTGTCTCTCAAATAAATTGAGCTTTTTTTTTAACACCAAGAGATGTCTTTATGGGTGAACCCTCAGCATTTACTACTGTACCTGGTAAACAAATGTCAAGTGATATTGAATAAACAACTTTCACAGTGTTAAAACACAAGGCTTGTTTATTGGACTGTTGAAGAGGCTGATTGTTTTAAACATCTTTATAATTATTTTAAACATGTAACACAATGTTAAGAAGTAAGGAGACAGTGAGAAGTCTCATTGGAAATCTCTAGGAATTACTTTCTTCAAACAAAAGTTGTTTTGGAAGCTTAAGGAACCAAGGAATTGGAATCTGTCTCACCATTGTTGCTATAAGGCAGAGGCTGGTGACGTTAGGATCCCCTTTATCTTGGTAAAGCTGCTTTGATCTTCCCTCAGACACTTTGGTGGCTCTGAGGGTTAGTGAGGTTGATGATTATCTTAGTACCCACTTTCAGCACGTTTATGGAGTTTATGCGTTCAGCCTCACAATACCAGGAGCAGAGCGGTCTTTGGGGATGCAGAGAAACACTAAAGAGAAACACACAAACTAGGTAGCATAAAAGTAGCTGGAGATCTGGTATCACCTGAGTGTCTGCCTCACAGTTTAGGATAATGTTCTTTGAAAACTTAGTAGGAAGACTGGTGACTTGCAGATGACTCAAAGGGAAATTCTATTTCTAAGAATTTACTGAAGATAATGTCAACTACAGAAATATATATATATATATATATATATATATATATATATATATATATAATCTCCAAGGCTATTCATCAGAATTGTTTGTAATTTTAAAATATTGGAAACCTAAGTGTCCATACATAGGTGAGTATTGAATAAAATACGTACATCAGTACAGTAGAGTCCCATGCTGCCACAGAAAAAGAACGAAGTGATGTAGTAGTTTCCAAGATATATTGTTAATTAAGCAGAAAAAAAGCAAAGTGCAAAAGAATTTATACTGTGCCACCCTTTGTATAAGAGGGAAGGGGAAATAAAATATACATGTGCCCACTTTCACAAAAAGGAACACAAGAAAAACAAATGGGATTGGTTACCTGTAGGAACTGGGTGGGAATGGAGTAGACAGGATCTGGGAGAACCCTGTCAATGTCTGGTATACTCAAAAACAGCAAAAGTCAAGGATGGGATGGGGGTACTGATCCAAGCAACTTCTGAGTGCAACATTTTGGCTATATATCCTCATACTAAAGATTAAAAAGAGCTATACTTACCTTTGGTAGGTTTTGCCCAGTGACATTGAAAAGTGATTTAAAAGTGGGTCTGTATTCCAGAATTGAGCAAATACGTACATATTTTGAGGATACTAAGAACCAGGTTTCTCACTGATAGACAAAGGAATTACAAAGATGGAAAAGAGAACCTCTCAAATGAATCCCGTGGTGTTGCACAGGTATTGAAGGTACTCTTGTGAATTCACGATGCATGGCTGGATGGACATTAAAGACTTCCCAGCTCTCTGCTGAAATAGCAAGAAGCAACAATACATCCGTAACACTGAGCCCACTTAGTGTGCAGATCTTGGTTTCTGCGTACCAATTTCCACTGAAAAACAGAAAAAACCCAGAGCTTCTTGAAGAAATGGCTGCTTCAGGAGCTAGGGCAGGGAAAGGACAGGATGGACCTGCAACATACTGGAGTGCCTTGAAATAGTGAAATGCTCAAAAGAACGATGGGGCCCTGACTAGTGTTGCTCAGCTGGTTGTGTGTTGTTCCACAGAGTGAAATGTCACCGGTTCAATTCCCAGCCAGGGCACATGCCTGAGTTGCAGGTTTGGTCCCTGGTTGGGACATGTATGAGAGGCAACCAGTTGATGTTTCTCTTCCTCTCTTTCTCTCTCTAAAAATAAATTAAAATCTAGAAAAATGATGGGAACATGACAAAAGTCAGCTTGAAGGGCCTCTACTTTGCAACTCAGTTTGAGCACCAACCACTTGTAGATTCGAATCCATTCAATAAAATCAAAATCCATTCAAGAAGAACATCTATAAATCCATTCTGATACAAATGATAAAACTGCCTACTTTCAGTAGAACCCCAATAAATGTAGAAGAAGGACAGAGTTAGGAAATCATCTGAAGACCATCATAGCAATAATTGACCAGATGAGAAAGTGGTGAAAGTTCCGGAAGAAGCAGGATATTCCTATAGTCTCCAAGTAGCTCTCCATGAGATATTGATGACAAAGTTTGTCGTATTATTACAGTGGAGAAACCTAGAAGATACCACCTTAATTGAATGGCTAACATTAGCATCACCAATAGCGGGGAAAACCAACACCCTGCATTCCATTTGAGAATATGGCACTGCTGTGGTACTCTTTCTAAAAAAGTAACCTAAATCTGATCATGAAGCGAGATCAGATACACTTGAAATGAGAAACCCTCTACAAAATAACTGGCCTGGACAAACAATAAGAAAAGCTAGCAAGGCAGCAGGATATAAGATTAATATGCAAAAGTCAATTGCATTTCTTCACAAGAACAGGAAACAAATAGAAAACAATTAGGATACAATTTACAATATTATCAGAATACTAAGGAGTTAACAATTTAAAAGATATTTAGGGCATCTATAGAAAAAATATAAAACTTTATTAGGAGACAAGTAATTGGACCTAAATGTTATAAACAGAGTTGCAGGTTCAATAAAATTCCAATCAGAATCCCAAAGAGATTTTAGTGAAACTTGATCCTAAAAGACAAGATTCATGAAAGAAATAATAGTGAGCTGGACTGCATTTAGATAAAATCTCTGCTCTGTGATAGACTGTCAAAAGAATGAGAAGACAAGCTATACACTGGGAGAAAATATTTGCAAAAGATGTATCTTATAAAGGACTTATAAAAATACACAAAGAATTCTTAAAACAGCAATAAGAAAATGAACAACCCAATTTAAAAATGGCCAAAAGATCTGAACAGATACCTCACCAAAAAAGATGTACAGAGAACAAATAAACACAAAAAGATGCTCACCATTACATGTTATTAGGAAATTTCAAGTTAAAATAACAAGATACTGCTCTGCAACTATTAGAATGGTTAAAA